TTCTGTACAGTAGTATAGTGTTAGAGAAGGTCAAGCCTATTTACAGGAAGATGTTGCGGAGAATTGGTCACGTGATGTCCAAAAAATGGAGCTCCGACCAAGAACCAGGAACTGTAGAGATAGAGGGTATTACCATAGAAATGAAGGAAATTCAAGGAGAGACAATCACAAGACAGGGTACTGAAGAATCGAGTGTTGTACTGCATAATGTTACGATACACAATGAAATAGAAGATGTTATCCAATATTCTGATGAACCCGCCGAGGGGGACAAAGAATCGCGATCATTTAAAAGTGAAGGTAGCGAAGCACAAATGTCAGCGGAGGACTAATTTAGACTTTTTATTGGACATGAAATGACACGTGACATAAAATAACACTTGACAATGACACGTGTTTGAAAATGAAATGATACGTACTGCTTGGTTCTGTTTGAGTTGCATTGTTACATTTTTTCCGCTTTTCCTCAGTTTATTGCATATTAAAGATCGATTAGATATGTATTTCTTTAGTACGTGGATATGTGAACTGGCTCACTTTTCTCGAAGTCGACGTAATTGAAAGGCATGGGTATAGACCGACGACCGTCTGGTCTTTTAGAGTCTTTTAGAGTCTTTTAGAGTCTTTTAGAGTCTTTTAGAATCTTTTAGAGTCTTTTAGAGTTTTTATTTCACACCCAGAAATAAAGCTGAGATTACTTTTATTTTCTGTTTTCAAGAAACTGTTAGTGTTACACATTGATTTTAATTAATTTTAATTCGAAATGCTTTTAGTAAATGATTTAAATTGACTAATAATGAATTCTCATTTTTCATGGCCCAATTCTCATTCGTAAGAAAGCTTCCAATAGGGGTTGACCCTAATGAGAGTCCATCGTTGAACTCTACAAATTTGAGCAAATGACAAAGAGTACAAAATATATCATCACTAAATCTTATGAAATAATTTGAATCGTAAAAAGATAAATTGTATCATTGCACAAATAAGCACACAAATAAGCACACAAATAAGCACACAAATAAGCACACAAATAAGCACACAAAAAAGCACGAGCAAGGTTTAGTTATTCAGTGTCTACTCCTAATTATCTCAGGATAAAAATTCAGTTTTTTAGAAGAGATGTATTCAAACAAAATCTTTCCTCGACACTAGTGTTTCACATTTTTCCTTCACCAAAACAATGATGCCTGCTATATTTTGGGCATTAGGCAACATCAATTCATAATGATCACGTCAAAATCATATCCGAACAAAGCCTTACTGGAAGTTTTAGACACTAGTAAATAAGCACGCAGCTGTTATTCAAAAGGAATGATATATAGGATACAAGCAGCGGCGTAACGTTAATGGTTTGATGAGGGGTCAGGGTGCCGTTAGAGTTGCCATCCTTTTGTCGAATTTGGCCAACTTATTGACATTTGAAGAGTCCTTTATCTTGGCAACATCGATCCCAATATCGTTCTCTTCTCAGCGTTCGCTCACCGCGAAAAATATGTGTGCTCTCAAATAGCTATTTATAATAGGGGGCGCCAAAAAGCAACCGCGGACGCTAAAACAAAAGAAATTATGAAATTGGTTGAGGGAGATTATAAGGCTACGTCACTGTACACTGGCATGTAATATAGTCTGGCATAGGAATGCGATGATGTTTTGTTTACAAGCTCAGCTCTCTTACTGAGCAGTATAAAGCACGACTTAACTCTTATTCCCGTCGTATTACCTCACATTCTTCACTCATTCCTCACTGAATTATAATGTAGTGTGCATATTCATAAACGCATAAAATTAAAATATGTAGTGTGAGTCCGTGTCCACACTCCACACAGGAGCTCTTTATTTTCTGCTTTTATATATTATGCTACACTGCCACTCATTTGCCTTTACTTTGTGCGTAATTCGATAATGATGACCAAACTGGCTCCATGTCCATGTAAAGATGAAAGGCTCAGTATTCAGTAACTATAGTTTAACGTTCGTTTTGTTTAGTATCAAGTCGTTCTTTTGTTGCGTGTTTATTTCTTAGCTTCTTAACTTAATTCAGTGACTTTGCTTCTGAAACACATTTGTTAAATTGCTTGATTACAGCTTTGATATCATCAGTTAAAGTGACACTGTGACAGTAAAGGTGTTGCTGAGGATTTACATGAATTACAAATCTGGGAAAGTATTTGGTTACGTAGATTTAACCCATCTAAATGTAAAGTAATGCATATTGATCTTAATGATATACTCCTTATTTAAATAATTCTCTGGATGGTTTTATTTTAGAAATCTCAGAACAGGAGAAGGATTTGGGTGTTGTTACAACACATATGTCATTGAAATGGGATGAGCAGATAAAAGCATCTATATCTAAGGCTATCCATATGATATGTTGGATAGTCAGGAATTTGATTATTTGAGATAAACTGTGATTTTAGCAATTTATAAATCTTTGATAAGACCACAATTCTTGAATACTGTGTACAGTTGTGGAATCCATCTGCTGCTCATGGTAGTTGGCGAATCATCCTTGAGTTGGAAGCTGTCCAACGCCGGTTCACCCGGTTAATCGAGGGTATTGGCACACTGCCATACAGCAGCAGGTTGGTAACTCTGAATTTAACTACATTAGCTGAAAGAGGAATCCGTTGGGATCTTATAGAAACCTTTAAATAGTCAGTGGTTTAGTAGAATATGGCTCAGATATTTTCAATATTAGTAGATCGGGTATGAATATTGTTTTAAAGATAAAGTGCAATATTAAAAGCTCTAAATTAAGAATTCTTCGTAAAGCTTTTTTCTCTGAGAGAGTTATACCTTATTGAAATGCCCAACCAATGGATGTCAAGAATTCTTATAGTGTAAATAATTTAAAGATACATCTTGAATATTTTAAAAAGGACTGCATTAAAAAGGAATGTATTGTGATCATCATCACTGGAAAGTGTTTGGTAGCAAAGAAGAAGTTTATTAGACTTTTAGAGCTGAAGACGATTTACACATGTATTTTGAAAGCTCCTGCTAAAAACAAACTAATCGTATCACTTATATGTTTTAAATATCCCCCTCCAGAACCTGAACTAGGTCGTTTGGGTATAATTTAAATTATTAAGATATTTTTATGAATATTTGTGATGATCTTATGTATCATTATGTTTTGATTTGATTTGATCTGATTTATCAGGCTTTTTGTATGCCGAGACCACCAAGAGACAATCGCATTATATCTACACGATACGATTGCGCCTAATTTCATATAAATAACTTTATAATGTTTATAATGAGACTTATCAGACTAATCACCTTGCGTGTACGTACTAATCCTTCGTCAACCGAATGTAGGTATTCAGTGTCTATCGGCAGATACTCAAGTCTCAAGTTGCTCGGATTTCTTTGGTTGCTGAGTTTTATAAACTATCTTGATTTATTAATGTAACATTCTACTTGAATAAAACGACGAATTAGTGTTAAGCACTGAGTTTTAGCTGTGCTTCAAGAACAACGATTTCTCCCAATCTTTCTCCCAATCCCAACAAATTGTTTATTTGAAGTTCTCTGTTTAAAGTTTAAGCGCCTTCATTCGTTCTTATTTTCTTAATCATTGATATTATCTGATTTTAGAATATCTCTTTAATTTATGGTGGATCATAGCAGGTAACCATAGAAATAAGTTCTATAGCACTAACAGTTATGAACATTTAGCTATATCAATTACCGATACAGTATACGCTAGATTCACGTACTAGTAGCGAACTGAGGTTTAACAGTCGTGTCGAACTTCAGTCCAAGTAGCGCACTAAAGTTCGACACGACTGTCGAACTTTAAGGTTAGTCGAACTTCAGTGCCTGTCGAACTTCAGTCCAAGTAGCGCACTAAAGTTCGACACGACTGTCGAACTTTAGGGTTTGTCGAACTTTAGGGTTTGTCGAACTTTAGGGTTTGTCGAACTTTAGGGTTTGTCGAACTTTAGGGTTTGTCGAACTTTAGGGTTTGTCGAACTTTAGGGTTTGTCGAACTTTAGGGTTTGTCGAACTTTAGGGTTTGTCGAACTTCAGGGTTTGTCGAACTTCAGGGTTTGTCGAACTTCAGGGTTTGTCGAAATTCAGGGTTTGTCGAACTTCAGGGTTTGTCGAACTTTAGGGTTTGTCGAACTTTAGGGTTTGTCGAACTTTAGGGTTTGTCGAACTTTAGGGTTTGTCGAACTTTAGGGTTTGTCGAACTTTAGGGTTTGTCGAACTTTAGGGTTTGTCGAACTTTAGGGTTTGTCGAACTTTAGGGTTTGTCGAACTTTAGGGTTTGTCGAACTTTAGGGTTTGTCGAACTTTAGGGTTTGTCGAACTTTAGGGTTTGTCGAACTTTAGGGTTTGTCGAACTTTAGGGTTTGTCGAACTTTAGGGTTTGTCGAACTTTAGGGTTTGTCGAACTTTAGGGTTTGTCGAACTTTAGGGTTTGTCGAACTTTAGGGTTTGTCGAACTTTAGGGTTTGTCGAACTTTAGGGTTTGTCGAACTTTAGGGTTTGTCGAACTTTAGGGTTTGTCGAACTTTAGGGTTTGTCGAACTTTAGGGTTTGTCGAACTTTAGGGTTTGTCGAACTTTAGGGTTTGTCGAACTTTAGGGTTTGTCGAACTTTAGGGTTTGTCGAACTTTAGGGTTTGTCGAACTTTAGGGTTTGTCGAACTTTAGGGTTTGTCGAACTTTAGGGTTTGTCGAACTTTAGGGTTTGTCGAACTACGTCTACCGATACGATTTACTGATTAAGTAGCCATGCACATAATATAAGATCATCTGCAGGGCAGGGCTTTTGTTCCTGCAGTACAGAACATGGCGAATATTCTAACTCGGGTAACCACTCGGTTAACCGCCCTGAGTGTGGGTAATTGAAATATAATAACTTTCCTTAAATTGTACTTATAATTATATTTGTTAAAACTCTGTGCAAACCTTTGTCGAGACCTTATTGAGAGGTAAGCTCCGATCACACGTGATAGACTAATAATTACATCACGTATAATCAAGGTTATAGGCGATCGTGATATCCGGACAGATGGTTGTTGAACTTAATCAGGAGACTGAGTTCTACACCTTCAATCCAATCCAATCTCATAAACCTCCACTTAAGGTAATACCTTTTCAAAGTTATTTATAATTTATTAAGAATATTCTGGATGATTTAGAAAGTGGAGGGTTTAAATTTATGGAAACTTCTGGCCGATCCAAAATTGTTGATAATATTGTTATTATAGTAAAATCTCGATTTTCCGCGGAATTAAGTGAAATTGAAAGGAAATAGCCGCGTAATTCTAGGCGCTGTAAATCGGGAGGTTTAGTGCAGTAAGCTTTTAGCTTTCATTTGGCTCACAATTTTACGATGACTTACCTGTATCAGTTACCGCTAGTCCTGAATATTGCTGGAAAGTGTAACTATAAGGTTTGTTAACTTATTTTTCGGCATTACAAAAGTTTCGCCGTGGTCATGTTTGGAGCTTCGATTTTTACTGGATATTATGTACGTATAGTACAACTATTATTAAAACTTCAAAAATTAAAGTATCGACATATCATGAGACATCTTTTTAACAAATTGAATATAGTTTGAGTTAGATAATTTACTAGTTGCTCTCTTTCCGGAAACTTAACCAACATTTTAGATTAGCCTATCATATTAACGTCCTCAATTTCAGCCAATCCGGTTTAGTGAACGTGACGATGAAAAGGAGAGAAGAAACAAGGGTAAAGATAAGAGGATAGCTATATCTCTTATCGTCTTATCATTCTTAGCTTCCGGTACTTTACACATGTTCTTATTTTTATCACTTTCAGTCTTTCTTGTTTTCTTGCTTTAAGTTTTCTTTGCTTTCCTGGAATCGATATGTTTTGTAGCTTAACATAAGTTATAAGTACAGTATGAAATACTGTAGTGACTTTATAATAATCTTATCATATATAATGTATATGTATATTATACAAATTGAAACAACGGGTTAACAAACTTAAAGTTCCATGCTATTATTGTTAATGCAATCATCAATGTTTAAAAACATATATACATTTACACATATACATTGGAAATTATAAGGGTTCCTGCTAGTCAGCTAGTAATTATAAATACTATGATGACATGATGATTGATGATAATGATATATACTGTGATGAAGTAATAACAATAAGAGTAATTAATATTGTAATAAAAATGACACTGATAATAGTAATAATAGGTATCATGATTACGTAACAATAATTATAAGTAATAATTATTCATAAAGTAATAATAACAGAATAATTACTCCTTCAGTTTGTGTGTTGTTTGGTGCACTCTACCCTCACATTAATTGATTAACTAATTATAATTACAATCTCTATCCCTTCAGTTTGTGTGTTGTTTGGTACACTCTACCCTGACATTAATTAATTAACTAATTATAATTACAATCTCTACCCCTTCAGTTTGTGTGTTGTTCGGTACACTCTACCCTGACATTAATTCATTAATTAATTATAATTACAATCTCTACCCCTTCAGTTTGTGTGTTGTTTGGTACACTCTACCCTGACATTAATTAATTAACTAATTAAAATTACAATCTCTACCCCTTCAGTTTGTGTGTTGTTTGGTACACTCTACCCTGACATTAATTAATTAATTAATTAAAATTACAATCTCTACCCCTTCAGTTTGTGTGTTGTTTGGTACACTCTACCCGGAGATGTACCGTGCAGAGATTGACATGAGACCTTGGAGGGGAATTATTCAGGCGTCTGTAAAAACACAGGGCTGGCTCATTAAAGACAGGTTGGTTTGTCGTGAACATGCCTCACTTTGTCATGAACATGTCTCACTTTGTCATGAATACGTCTCACTTTGTCATGAACACGTCTCACTTTGTCATGAACACGTCTCACTTTGTCATGAACATGTCTCACTTTGTCATGAACACGTCTCACTTTGTCGTGAACACGTCTCACTTTTTACGTGAACACGTCTCACTTTGTCATGAACAAGTCTCACTTTGTCGTGAATATGTCTCACTTTGTCATGAACAAGTCTCACGAATAATATATGACTAAAAATGAGATTTGATTGTCCCTTTTAGAAACTAACTTGATTTATTCAGGATAACATTAGTTAATGTTGGCATGTGGAGGTACTGTTACGACGATCAGTTTTACGATCTCATTGAAGTAACAAATCCTCAGTTCTCCATGCTTGGTTCGTTTTTTTTGGTTTTATCTGAAAAATGTCTAAATTTGAACTTGATAATCCTATATAAGATATTTTTCGGTTTTAGATTTATTCTCGACCTGAAACTTTTATGACTTTGACATTTTAATGCAATCTAATCCCAATAATTTGATCTAATTCACTACTGCTTAATAATCGTTAATTAGTTGCTAATTGCTGACAGGACGCAGGAGAAGGTCAGCTGATAATGAGGAGGAGGAGATGCACGCCGTTGAGAAAAGACAAGTCGTGAGGGAAGGCGACATTTCTATCAGATGCCATCCCCGTCAGTACTCAACTTAATTATTATTGCTTTTAAACTGTTAAGTCCGTTATTATGATTGCGACGATTTCATGACTTCTTCTTGAAAAGACAATCCTTTTTTTCCTTTTGATCACATCTTTCAATATATTATATAAACCGGTTGAAAACATAGCTTGAACTGTCGTTTCTTATAAAACATTATAATCTCTAACAATTTACATTCTAACTTTCAGTTCCTAAACCCTGGAAAATGCCATACCATTTGAGACAAAAATTGGCAGTAACAAAAGCCATGCTGATTATCGGTACAGTGACGTGTATTCTAGCTTTCCTTATCGGCATTCTGGTACTGATAACACGCTTGTCTTGCCTTAAGCTTCTCCTTCTTATCCTATGTTTTCTGGCAGGTATGCGGACTTATTTTTTTATTTTTGTATGTTTCTATTCTAGGTTTTCAAGTGAAGGATGAAAATGTCAACCCGTATAGTCATCAGTCCTGCTTCATAAGAATTTAATCGAATGTGTCCGCTAAAATGTGTCCTCCAATTAAAATGTGTCCTCAAATACCTAACCTGTACTTTTTAGCCGCGTCCCTTGGTACAGCAATTGGACTGCGTGTAGCTACTAAGGGTCATGCTCAGCAATATTTCAACGAAGCAATGAGCAGAACTCTGGCCAAAATGCTTTCTGAAGAGGTCAGTTTCTTTTCACTTGGTTTTCAACATATACTGATTTATTACTCCCTTTACCTCTTTGTGTATGAGGATTTATATGATTCGCTCCGCCAATAAAAGGGATACCTGTTCCGAATTTGCTCAAAGAGCTTCAACTCATGTTATCACCAACTTCATCGCAGTTTGACCTGAATTTCCTCGAGATGGGTATCAACCTGCAAAAAGCTGACTTGATAAAATTTACGCCCGGAGTTTGTTTCGTGTTCATTGTTGGGGGTTGTTTTGTCATGCTTATTTCAACTATACTTGCTGGTAAGTTACGAGACAACATTTTATATTTATATCATCATACAATATGCATGTTACATTAATACATTATGTTTATAATACATTGTACATATTGTTATGAATCAATGATTAAATGATATTTAAATAATGTAATACGACATAAAAACGACACAATTCTTCAAGAGTTTGAGTTGACATTATCATCATCCACTGTTCTCTAAAATCCATTTTCTTAAACCTCTTTATAATAAAGAAAGATTCGGCGCCCGGCGGTAAATTTTAAAACTTCTCTTTTCAGAGTTGGCCCGAAACCTAGGCTGAACGCAACATTTCTCACTACATGAAAAGTGTACACACCATCAGACGTTGACCCCTTTCTCACAATTCTCCGATTCAACTTATCTGATATGATGTGTTTCAAATATACGCCAGAAAATGTCTAGATACAAACTTTTAGGGTTCAATCAAAGCTTAAGTTAAATATTGTTTAATATTGTATGATATTAAATTGACGTCAGATAAAATGCACGGGCACATGCTGCATGAAGTTTGAGTTTGATTGCCTCTTCTACTTTTTTCTTTTATCTTTGATATCTTTGAACAGAATAATATTTTGATTTTCAGGAGATCAAATTTTTACATAAAATATTTTATTGGTTTCAGAAATGCTTTTTATTAATTTTTAAGTCCCGATTTATCGGAACTCTCATGGAAATTTAAGTTCGGTGACCCAATGGTACTAGTAAATATCAGTGTTGTACAACTCGGTAGTAATATCTTTAAAATTATTAGAATCCGTAGTTTTCTTGAAAATGTAAATATAATTTAAATTAAATTCGCAATTAATTCGGTCACGGTGTATAATAAATCGAAATCAGCGAATGCACTCAAAACAGCAGCCAGCATACATATAAAAGCTCTCAATAAAATTAGTTCTATGTCTTAGCTAGCCGGGATGGCAAAGATATACTATCAAACCTCAGAACACAGAAACGGCATGACTTATAATAATATATATCAATTGTCAAAAGTGCGGTTGCTCTTTCGTTAGAACTCGGCACCAGGTTATTTGTTACACTTTCAAAGAAATAAATACTTATCGAAATCAAAATAGTTTTAAACCAGTCTCTCTAAATGTTTTAACTCAAAATTTGTCCAGAGACCAAGTGATGAGCTCCAAAACCAGCAAGGCAAACTCTTAACTCAAAATTTTTCCAGAGACCAAGTGATGAGCTCCAAAACCAGCGAGGCAAACTCTTAACTCAAAATTTTTCCAGAGACCAAGTGATGAGCTCCAAAACCAGCAAGGCAAACTCTTAACTCAAAATTTTTCCAGAGACCAAGTGATGACTAGCTCCAAAACCAGCAAGGCAAACTCTTAACTCAAAATTTTTCCAGAGACCAAGTGATGAGCTCCAAAACCAGCGAGGCAAACTCTTAACTCAAAATTTGTCCAGAGACCAAGTGATGAGCTCCAAAACCAGCAAGGCAAACTCTTAACTCAAAATTTTTCCAGAGACCAAGTGATGAGCTCCAAAACCAGCGAGGCAAACTCTTAACTCAAAATTTTTACAGAGACCAAGTGATGAGCTCCAAAACCAGCGAGGCAAACTCTTAACTCAAAATTTGTCCAGAGACCAAGTGATGAGCTCCAAAACCAGCGAGGCAAACTCTTAACTCAAAATTTGTCCAGAGACCAAGTGATGAGCTCCAAAACCAGCAAGGCAAACTCTTGACAGAGCGGCTGGGACGCCAAAACGGGAGCTGCACACTTGCCAACACCCATCTCCAGAGACTGCAGTCTCGGTGCTACCTCAGTGCAGTTCTTGGCTCGGAGGTAGGGCCGAACCATTTCATCATTCATTATGCAGTTTTGTGCGATGAGGCCAATGTAAAGCAGGACACTTGCGTCGAAGAGGATCTCAACAGAGCAGCTCACTAACGTCTGTCTCATCTCCACTCGGCGGGTTTGTGACAGATTAGTGATGGTTGCCGTGGATTTGGAGTAGCCCACCACATAGATGCAGCTGAGAATGAGGGACAGGATAAAAGACAGATATGTGGACCCTATAACTGTCACCCTCCAGATATCCTCCCATTTGAATACTTCCTCACATCCGCCCTCCCTCGGCTTGAAGTTAACGAGAAACATAGTGCCAGACAGGAATAAAGTAGTGGTCATAACCCACTGTCCCAGCGTTGTTCTAAGTAGCCACTTGGAAAAGCCAACCTTGTGTCGCCGGAAGAAGAAGGGCCGAAAGATCATGACGTTCTGGAAGGAGTAGAGAATCGTGGTGAATATCTTGTAATCAATGATGGCGACTCTAATCAAACTGGACATCGCACCAGCTACCGTCATGTACAGCAAGGCGCTCTTTCCCATCTCCTTACTAGCCACGAAGTAGGTTCCTTCAGAGAGAGCGAACAAGGTTCCTACCACAACTATCCATATTGAAGATGAACATTTGGTTATCTTAACCACCGAATTGTAATATTTTTTCTTCAGTTTGACTGTTAGTCCAACTAGTCCGATGATGATGAAGAAGACTGCGATTATCATGGTCCAATAGAATAAATCTTCTTCGTAGAGTACCTCATATTCGGTGGTGCTGTTCAATCGGATCTCGGAGTAGTTTACCAACGTTTGCAGCTTCTTCCATGATGGATCGTCTTTGAACTTCTCCCTTAGATTGTTGTTGGAGAATTGTAGCACCATGTTAACGTTCAACGATTCGTTTTCGTAGTGTATTCGAGCCATTCCATGCTCATGTAGCCAGTCAGTCAAGTCCTGAGAAAATCAACGTTGGAAAATCACAAAACAACTTTCAAAAATCAAAACTGTACCTTACACAGTTGACTATGCTTTTGATTTGATATTGTATTTTATTGAATTAATTTATATAACATTTATATTACATTTAAACTATTGTCCAATTTATCGACATCAAATGAAAATAAACCTTATCATACCACTAGAAACTCCTGATACTAACACCATCAGTAAAATAGACACTATGATTTTTCACTTCTTGTGGGGTTGTAAGAGGGATAAGTTGAAACGTGATATTGTTACTTCTCCTCGTGAATGTGGGGGTCTAGGTCTCTTCTATACTAACAATTTTATTATAGGTTTAAAAGTGTCACTTATAGGAAAAGTTATCGATCCTAATTTCCAACATGCCTGGAAAAATATTATCATCAATCAGCTTTTACACCCAAATATACCAACTGTGTGTATAGAAAACTGTCTCACATTAAAGAATACTGGTTTTACCTTTAACCTTCTTCGCCATTATAAGCTTTGGAAGTCTATTTCTTCACAGTCAAGTAAGAGTACAGTCAACCACTGTGTGTGGGGAAGCGACGTAATAACCGACATTGGCTCCAAGCTCTGGAACGATATTCTTATTGATAGAAATATCATCTATCTTTCTGATTTCGTTTCAGAGGAAGGTAACCTCTTAAGTTTTCAGCAATTTCTGAGAAAGTGGGGCCAAACAAGTAGTATAATCTCTTCGACTCAATATGCGAGTATAAAATTGGGAATACGTCGATTTAATAATACCGATACGTTTACAAGTAACATTACATTTATCGATACCCAACTTTCACTTCGCTTTTGGGGAGGTAGGAATACCCCCAACTCTAGAGATACTCCTCTCACTATCAAAGGTAGAAACATTAGAGATACCATGTCTAAGCGTTTAGATCCCAGCACCCTTCCTCCAATGAGGAACTGGAGTGCTAACCTCTCCTTAACGGATATTGATTGGATTAGTATTTTTACGGATATTTTTACTTCGTTCTCAAATAACTTCAAACTTATTCAGTACCAATATAAGCTCCTTCACCGGATTAGTACTTGTCGGTACATGAGATATAAAATGAAGATTGAAAAAGATAGTCCAAATTGCTCGTTATGTAATCACAACCTCGAAACTATCTCTCACATATTTATTGACTGTCCAGCCACAAGCTCTTTCCTACAGGGAGTAAATCTGTTTATTAGATCGAATATTGACGCAAATTATGACGACCCATATCGCCACTATTTGATTTGCTTAAATCACAGAGATAAAAGTGTTAACTTCATAAATTCGGTTTGCTGTTGGTTTATTGGAAGGAGTTTCCAGAACAAGGAACCCCTATTCTGGGAGCGATATCTTAAACATCTTAAGCTTTTCTTATTAGGTGAAAAACCGGATATTATACGGTGCCTTAAAGACGTTATACCTTGATGACCATTTTATACCCAAAGTTCTGGATCCACTATACACTCTTGTTTATTTATTCTCTCGAAATTACAGCCGTGCCTTACCTTTACCCTTTATTTCACAAGTTGTAGCCAGTGGAGTTATCTCCACTACTAGTATTGATATAGAGTCATATTTAAAACCAGTAGTATCTCTCCTTTTTCTCTCCATCTTATGTGCATTTTATTACTCTATATCCAATGACTTTATTCGACGTATTATCTAAAAGAACAAAAAAAATTGTGTGCGTGTGTTTTTATATTTATTTTGCTACGGCGCATGTGAAACCCCAGGGCATCCAGCACCGGAGAAGCTGAAATGACACTCTCTGAACCCTTGGTGCCGCTCAGATTTTGCCTCTTGGCTGGTAAGCCGAGTCTTGATCGATTAACTCAGCTTCTTCGGTACAACACAGACCGGAGGGTACTATTAGCCGCTTTGCCGGTGGTATCCTCCTGGTGTCCTGGGGTTTGGCAGGTTCCTCATTTAAAAAAAAAAAAAAAAAAAAAAAAAAAAAAAAAAAAAAAAAAAAAAAAAAAAAAAAAAAAAAAAAATGAAAATAAACTATGATAGAGTTCAGCTCAGATCATATCTCAAATTGTAAATGTTACGTGTACAAATTAGCAAGTAACAGTTCAGATCATGTCTCTAATTGGAAATGTGTCGTATTGAAATCAGATCACAATTTCGGACAGATGTCGGTTTTTTTTTTCTGGTACCCTGAGTCGGATAGATGTCGCTGTCGGACAGGAGTTGTTACCTTACTAAAAAGATACACATTTCAGGCGAATACAATTTTCTTCTACAACATTGCTATCATTTTTTGAAGATGTACTTGCCCACATACTCCCTATAGACCAGCGAATCTTCTTCAAAGTTTGTCTATTAACCCAAAAATCAGTTCACGGTACTGCATCTGGTTACCTCAAAGCATTACTGGATGTGGATGTAGTGGATATAGAACTCTTAAACTCTTATCTGTGACCAGGTCGACGAGACCGGATGACCATCTCATGCTCAAGATACCAAATAATAAAAAGTCCAAAGTTGATGACAGACGTTTCTCAAGCCATGCACCGGTTTAACCGGTGCATGGCTTGTTCCAACCGTTCCGGTTGCATGGAACTCTCTTCCGCTGATGTTGAGAAGTATTACTGATACCAACTGTTTCAAGCGAATGTTAAAGAATCATTAATATAATCAGTTCTGATGTTTTTTCTTTCCATTGTCTTCACTTTGCAAGACACGTTGGCTTTTATTTTTTACCGCACTCCATTTTATGTCTTGATCTCTAACTTTCTAGGATCTGTCTCTTTCTTGATTGATTATGTCACTGTACTTACCTTTATTATACCTACAAGTACATGTATTGTATGGTTTCTGCTTCTATTTAGTTTAGTGTGGTTTACAATAAAAGATGTTTTAATTATGTATTTGCCTTAATATGATGAGTTATACTTTGTTCACTTTTACACATTTGCTCACATCACTCACAGTCAGCCGCTCTGACATGTTTAACCACCTTCCTTGTGTTGTTGGTTAATCATATGAGCGGGATATAAATACCTCATTTCATTTCATACATTGTAGATAAGATGAAATTTGCCATTTACCCAATGTTGGATCATTACTCCATCCATCTCGATCCATAAGTCCATCTTTTCTGGAACTCCTTCGTTTACGAAATCTCCCGGTTCGATTTTGGAGAGAATTTCTTTATAAAGGTCTAGGTTTGTCATTTTGACCGTCTAGGGATATTTTATTAACGTAAAAAGAGAGCTAGTTATTTTTCCGTCCGTCAGCCAGCAAGAATTAGGTGCAAATTCGTATCAAAATCGCAAAATTAATAAATAATGTTGTCTCTTGACATCACTTTAGATTTAAACGGGTTCCTGCTATATTTTAGTCTTTATATTTATAAATAACCGCAATCAATTCAGGTTTTTTAGGCAAATACAACGCACAAGGTTTTGGAATAACTAGGTTATCACTATTGTTATCAATGAAATTCCGAAAACAGTTGTCCATTGTCAGATCTAAGCTAGATTAAAGAAAAAGCATAAATTTAATTGACGTTCCGATTAATATGGAAAATCACTCAATTTCATCCCATTATCGAAATTTTGTGATGCACTAAAACTGAGAGAACTAACTTGTGACACTAACTGTCAGGTCAATAGAAGTTGAATGTGATCCGATTATTTGCTTAGATTGTCTGCTCAGCAGATGTTTCGAAAATAAAAGATTCTATTTCGGGGCCTATCAGGGCGTACCTTGGGCACCGGGCGGGCGTTATCCTGGATACAGATACCATCTTTATCATGGTAATGATATAACCCCACAAAATAGATTGCACTAACGCAAATTACTGGGCGGTGCTCAGCCTTTCATTCCGCCAAATCTCTATTCGGCAGAATATATGTTTAAGAACAATGAACATTATAGACTGGGGTCCCCAGGTAACAACGCAAAATGCAAATGAAGATGGATGCTGCCACGTAACGGACGTTTTTGTGTCTTAGTTGATTTTTACGACTTGCCCTGGATCAATATAATACGCACTGTCACGTGACTCAGACGCCCGCTGCAATTTGCTTAGCGATCTACTTCTAATGATCGTGCTGTTTTTGTTGATACTACAAAGAAAATTTTAAGTATCCTAACAAAAGAATCGTTGACAAAGGTGAATTCTGCAACATCCTTGACAAAGGTGAATTTTGCGACATCGTATATATTTACTTTCTATTAGTTGTAATTTTAATACAATTTTGGAAAAGAAAGAAACAAAAAATGAAGAAGGTTGAATTGTTGAATTGAAGCTAAAATTTGAATTGAAGCTAAAGTTTGAGGATCAAAAATAACTGTACCTTACTAAAGTTGCTAATTTAAGGCTTTGAAAGAAACAACAAAACTTTTGTTGAACAAAAGCTACTTGGCAAAGTACCACTGACAAGTGAGCTCGGTTCTTTTCTATTATTTTTCAAAGAGAGGTTGGACCAGGGTGGCCCCAGAAGAATGGCACGTACATCAGTCGAGTGTGACAACCGATGCATGATTATTGTGCTAGTAAGTGTCCCAGTCTTACTGCGAGCGTGCTAAATCACTCTACAGTCGATCTTCGAGATTGTTCTAAAAGGGCCCCCGACAGTTGAAACCAACTTCAATCGATGTATTTTCGGACGCTGATTCCGAATCACCCCCACAGGAGGACTATAGTGCAAAGAAACGTTGCTGCTAACTGCTGCTCACTGCTGCTCACTGCTGCTCACTGCTGCTCACTGCTGCTCACTGCTGCTCACTGCTGCTCACTGCTGCTCACTGCTGCTCACTGCTGCTCAAGCTACTGCTAACTACTGCTAACTGCTGCTAACTGCTGCTCATGCAGCAGTTAGCATATGCAGCATGCATATGGTTAAAATACTCCCCTGACAAGATATTGGCGAAAAACTGTCTCGATCACGTGATATATATGACCGTATAAGGACGTTAGTCTAATTTCTCGTTATTGTTTACTGGGCCGCGCTCTCTTATGTTTATGAACATGATGATAGCCTGAGGTCCCCAGGTAAGTTATGGTTAGGGTTTTCAGCATATGCTTTTGTTATATTATATTAAGGATTGGGTTAGGTTTATAAACCCTAAATTTAGGGTTGGGATCAGATTAGAGGGTATTTAGGGTTTCGAATAGTCATTCAGGACTTGTAGGTTTATAACCTACCAGGACGCGCGCCGAGTTGGACTCGTCGACACTCGACGGTTCCTAATATTTTACTGGGCGGCGCTCAGCAGCAGTCATTCCGCCGAATCTTTATTCGGCGTTATGTTTATGAACATAATAGCCTGGGGTCCCCAGGTAACAAATACTTGGATCAAATATTTTACGAGTATCACCCGTTAATTCAGGACTTACCTGGGGATCGGACCCCAAGCTATTATGTTCAGATTTGGCGGAATGACAGGCTGAGCGCCGCCCAGTAATTCAGGACCAGCTAGAGAACGGTTTGAAAAAGTCACGTGACAGTCGAGTGTAAAGTAGGCCGTGTGCCATGTCGACCATAAGACGCGTACGCTGACCATATGAATGGTTTTTTAGCTCGTATTTTGGCCAGCACATTATTTCGGAAACAATTTGACATACGTTGCATGCCACTTTTCGCGCGCGAAGCGCCGCCGCCGAATGGGATACGTAACATGTACCAAGAAAGGCTCTTACTAAATCGCTCGCCCAAAAATTTCACGTGACTTTGGTTTTTTTGGTTTTGCAGCCGTACAAAACGGTTTTACATAAACCCTAATCCCAACCCTAACCCTAACCATAACCCCGAAGCTATCAATAATCTTAACCACAACCCTAACCCTAACCCGAGCCCTAAATAATCGAATTCACGTTTTACTAGCCTGTCACGTGACCAAAACGGTTTTTTGCCCATAACTCTCCAGGGAAGCATTTTAACCCTACGTCATGGGGGGTGATTCGGAATCAGCGTCCAAAAATACACCGATTCAGATCACTTTCATGCCTAAAGGGCCTTTTCACAAGAATTTTCTTAAAATTTGGGCGAGCGATTTAGTAGGAGCGATCAAGAAACAATCAAAAGTTATAATACTTCCCATATAACAATTTTGTTGAAATTTGGTCAGCTTGTAGGTAAACACTTATGTTTTACTAAACCTAAATTAGTTTGAGCAATTTCGATGGTCAGAATTTGAGTTATCAACGAATTTATACCTATTTTGTCATTTTTAGACCTCTCAATCATGAATCAGGGCTAATCTCTCCCAACTAAATTAGGTTCGGTAGTTAAGTATGATTGGAAGGTTCTGACAAATTTTCAGTATGATTCATGTTTAGGAACCGAAAATATGACAACATAATACGACAAAAATCAACGAATTTCGTCAAATTACGCGACTTTTACACCTAATTTTGCTCCAAAACACAAAAGCCGCGCACCATCAAATATAATTAATAAAGCTTTTAGGCGAAACTCACTGATCATTCCAAAATGGTATGACAAATTTGGTACTGTGAAAATTCTCACAGTCTCTAGAAAATTGCTCTAACCAGCAGTACGCGTAGACACATGGCTATGTGAATCTAGAAAACAATGGTACAAAAATTTTGAAAATCCGAGGCCGAGCAAGTTTATTTTATCAGTGATACTGGACAGAGTTAATATGAAAGTAATTTGGTACCCCGTATAATAAAATTTGCTATGTTTATTGAGTTCTTCATTGCGTTGGCATAATTCAATGAAAAGGCTTGAAGTTTTTGTTCAACTTGACGTGGTTTGTTTATATATATATATATATATATATATATATATATATATATATATATATATATATATATTAAGCATGCAGGACAATTAAGAATTCAAATACATTTCATCCCATCAATAACTTATTTCAGTCAATATAAGTATGGACATCACCGCGCTGTTCAGTCAGTGAAACAAAAAATAAAAATTTCAGTTAAACAAAAATTTCAATTTTATGCCATATTACAGAGTAAACAAGTTTACAATAAATCAATTTGATATTTAAAGGAATCCTAATTCAATGTGTAGTATGGTCGTCACTCTTTAAATAGATTAGATATAGGTTGACGGAGCAAAGGAGTGTGTGTGCTGTTCGCTTTTGCTTACACCAAACGGCAACCTATGTTGTCAACATGCACAACAGTTTTAACTGTTGTGCTTAACTTAAAGTTAAGGAATCATCAACGCTAAATTACAAAAGCCAACAATACAATTTAATAGCATATGACAGTTATATATATAACATGACACATAAACGTAACAGTAAAGAATAGGAAGCTTAATCACACTGTGCTCACAAGGAATTTAGGTGGCTGCAATTTTTTCCATTCGATTTTCAACATTTTTTTGGTGAATCCATTTTGATTAAATTACTTAAGTTAGTCCCATGGCCTAGGTTATTATGTTCATGTTTTTTTAGTCAGGAACACCGGTAATGATAATGGTGTTAGACTAAAAGGAATAAGGTTGTCTAGTTTGATCCAGTGACAAGTTTATTAACGCAGCTGCTAAACTCTCAGCATAACAACTTTTGCATTGCATATATAATATAATGCTAAGTTGATATGCTAAGATTTCTATAATGTAATGATTTCATTGTAGCTCGATCTTTAGGCCCCCTGTTCCACAGCTGTGTAAATAGCGATCGGCCAACAGTAGGTGCTGCAGTCTACTGTAATCTACTATCAAGTGCTATAACAATGCTAATAAAATAAGGATTGTTTGGCTGCAATTTAGTCGTCATGCTTGAGGTGATGTTGTACATTGCCTGTACTTGTGTGCCTAAAATGGGTAAAATTAATCTTTAATATTTCCTGTTAAGATTATGACATAGCGCTCCAGAGAAGATGTGAAAGAAAACAGTGCTGATTTGAGCCCCGTGACATCAGTCAATGACATGCAGGAACACAAGAAAGGGTGCAGCTATCACTGCCAGAGATGCAGTATGTTTATACCTGTTCTGTTTGTACTGGCGTTGGTAAGTTACTTTTTACTCTAGAGGATAATGTCCTGGCTCTATAGTCCATATAGCGGTCACAATGTCTTATCATAACTTCAATAAAGAAGTCCAAAAACAATATTAAGAAACTCCAACTGTCAACTGCAACTGACTGGACAAATATTTATGCTGATACATTTTGTGTATTTTTTTGATGAAATCACTTAAAGTTAAGTTACTTATAAGCATAATGCTTATCTTTTTGATGTTCCAAAATTATACTGCTTTAGGAGCTTGCATATTTTTGCTATATTATTTACTTTACATAGTTACATTGATCAATCCTAGATCAACATTTTCCTTATCAGATTGGTTGGTCGTACTACGCATTCATAATAGCCTATGGTGGTAGAATAGAGAATCTAACAACACGGATAATAGTGTCCATCCTCTATCACATAATATTGGTACTGTTCCTTTGGAGTTATTTGATGGCAATATTTACCCGTCCTGGACGTCCTCCTCCTCAGTACTATCTAACTGGTAACTTTACAAATTTATCTTCCTCAAATGTATCATTAAGTATTTTAGATGATAATAATTCTTGTGCAGATTTATGGCCCTGTAACAGTTTTCTAATAAAGTCGTTATCAATAGTGTTGTATAATGAAATTTTACAAAAATAGAAGTGTAATTTATAAGACGTGTACAAATATGTACAATTATGTACAAATATGTACAAATATTTGTACAAATATGTACTGGTATTGGTATTCTTTGTTTTTTAAACTTACAGTAGTAGTATTATAAATATGATGTTATTCCAGAGGATGAGCATCTGAATATGCGCGCTACAGATCGCGGCAGGGAGATTCTACAAACAGTAAGCGCAAGGGTAACCGTGCAGGAGCGTACCAGCACTGGCGCCATGAGATACTGTGATATTTGTAAATGTATCAAACCAGATAGGGCCCACCACTGCTCAATGTGCATGCAGGTTGGTGGGTATTTAAACATAACCTGATTTGTTTTGCAAGATTTCTAATGAACTAACTGTGTTATAACTCAATTAGTTCAAACGTTTGAAAAACATCTTCAACACCCTGATTCAGGACTGTGTCTTATGCTTTAAAAGCTCTTTAAAATTTAAAATTCTTGTAACAACTCTCTTAATCCAACATGTTAACACTACAGTGCGTATTAAAGATGGATCACCATTGCCCTTGGGTTGGAAACTGTGTTGGGTTCACCAACTACAAGTACTTTGTCCTCTTCCTCTTCTACACATGTCTTTACACTTTATTTATCACTCTCTGTTGTATACCATATATAACTAATGTCTGGAGACATCGCAGCGATGACCCGTGAGTTCACTTGTTTATTTTTTAAATGTTATTTTTCATTAGGGCTAGCTTTTGTAGGGGCAAAAAACTTTTAATAAAGCTTCCTTTTACAGTATCTTTGTATTAACAAGAAATATGTAAATTCAACATCTTCTTGTATTGGTTTGTGCTCCTAAATAATGTTGAATTCACCCCTCTTTTACAACCCCTCATAAACCCCTCTTTTACAACCCCTCTTTTACAGGCTGAATTTCCACGTGTTAATAATGTTCCTGATAAGTTTAGTGTTCTTCCTAACTGTATTCGGGCTCTTCAGTTTCCACATTTACCTTCTCCTACACAATAAAACTACCCTCGAAAGTTCTAGAGCTCCATGCTTTAGAGGTTCGTAGTTACATTTTTCAAATTTTTTCATTGAATTGTTCTGCTTTGAAATTGATGCTAAATTGTTCCCATTTTTTGCTATATGATGCATATTTTTGTCATCTTTATCTACTCAATAGTGTATTTATGTTCCGACCTCTTACATGTTTCACGAAACAGGATGAATAAATATGTTTTACTTTCTATGGGAAATATGTAAATAGCATCCCTGCAACTTCTAAAACCCAACTCTGACAAGTTTTCACATTTTATTTCATGTCGAAATTTATCAATTTATTAATTAATTAAATCCTCTGCTCTCCTTGACAGGAGGGTTTGCAGACTCAAAACACTACGATCTCGGTGGGTACGACAACTTCAAACAGATATTCGGAGACCAGCCACAGCTTTGGGTTCTTCCTGTCTTTACAGCCAAGGGAAACGGTAGTGAGTTTGAGACACGTGCGTACACAAACGCGCGCACAGACGTTCCAGCCAGGACACCTAGTTTGCCATGATGATGTTCTGCGTTAAATTTGTAATCATGGGTACCACATAAGGTTGCCAAAACATTCTCAGATGTTCATAAGAATTGAACTTACTTGTGCCTTTATATAAGAGTATAAGGAATCTTCTAATCTATTCTCGATTGGTTGTTTTGAGAACGGTCATCATGATCTATTAGCTTGAACAAAATTAGAATCCACATACCTAGACCTACCACCCAAACTAGTTGTTTGTAGTGAAGATTTAACATAATGTTGTAGTTAACTTTTAGCTAGTCTGCACTTTTTGAAGGTGCAACCTCTTTGTTCTGACACGTGACAGCAACTGCAAGCTGATTGGTCTATTGTTGTCACTTGCTAAAACAACATTTCTCCTCCTGCAATGTGGGCAACAATTAACTTAACAGAGAGTTCACAAGATCTGCTGACCACATTGCTTTAATTCTGGCCCACCCCGTCCAGCATACCCGCATCTCAACCAATTCAGAGAGTATTATTGTATTATTGGATATTCCACACAAAGCATGAAATTGTGCTGTATATGAGTGGTGATTTCGCTCTGAGAATCAGGGTCAGTAGCTCAATTGGTAGAGCAAGAGACGCGAAATCTCGAGGTTCTGGGATCATTCCCCAGTTGTCCCTAGTTTTTCAGAATTAATCATCACATATAGACATCATGAGAGTAGGCCTGGCCATCTCGAAGTGATAATAATTCAGAGAGTATTATTGGAATGTCGGCATGTGGTTTTATCAGATAATCGTGTTTTGTAAATAGGGAGTAAACCACCTCTTTGGCGTAAATCGTATATTTGATATTTGATGATTATGCCATAAATAATATTGTGAAGTTAATTTTAGCTTTGATTTGTTTTTGAAAAGTGATTATTTTGATCGATAGTTGTAAAAATACAATTACATATCGTATTTTGACAACTATTATCAATATATTAAAATTCTTAGAAGTTAATCATGAAATATTCTCAGCCTGTTTCTTGTCGGATTATAGCTGATTATTATATATACGAGACAATCAGCGACTAATTATGTACTAATTGGTATTACCTTAATCAGCACAATGTTATACTATTCTTATTAGCAAATACTAAATTATCAGATCTGATCTTATAATTTTTCTACTCTTTTGATAAGGGAAATTTCGAGTTTTTTAATCGAACATAATGATATTGTTGTAATAGTACAATAATAGTAATAGTACTATGTTTACAGTATGCACTGAAGGGGTATCCTAGGAACATAATGATATTGTTGTAATAGTAATAATAGTAATAGTACTATGTTTACAGTATGCACTGAAGGGGTATCCTAGGAACATAATGATATTGTTGTAATAGTAATAATAGTAATAGTACTATGTTTACAGTATGCACTGAAGGGGTATCCTAGGAACGTAATGATATTGTTATTAACGTAATGATATTGTAATGATATTGTTATGATATTGTTGTAATGATAATATAGTACTAATGATATTGTTGTGGATATCAATGATAAGATAAGAATGTTTGTCACGACGTGTGAAATTTTTAAATAATGTCGTGTTTTCAATTGGACTATTTTATTGTATCCTTATAAAAATTGGGTTATATCTTGGAAAAAGAATTATTTCTGCACGAATTGTGTTTAAATATTCCTGAGCTGTGATTGGATGACACAAGACACGTGATGTGAATGCTAGCTTGTGATTGGACCAGTGTTACTAGGGTGAACTCCACGTGTCAATTATTGTCCTGCACTGTAAGAACTACGCATAGCACGGGTTATATTAGTGTAGACAAATTTAATTAGATAATTTTGCTACCATATTGTCCATATGATATTGGTTGTTGTTTGGAATGGTAGGCTTGCAGAGTATGTTACTGTATATATAATTAAACAATTATAAATTCTTGCTTACTCTTCTTTAGATTAGACTTATTGTTGTTTAATAATTCCTTTGTTCACTTTAAAGTAAAATATATAATTATTTAATAATCATTTTTCCTACCATTAATAGAGTTTCATTTGGGCACATAAAATATATGTTTTATTCTATATATTTTATGACAATTGCATCTAAATTTTACAGTAAAATTAAGTATAGTCATTAGTCACCTTTAAGTCGTAGTGAAGAATCCTTATCAATGAATTCAAATTGTATCATAATCAATTCCCATGAAAATTATCTATCAAAATGAATTCAAAATAGTTAATTCCTTGTTAAACGTTCATTAAAAATATTTTTGCGATAACAACTGCACCTTTCAAGGAATCATCGAAGAAGAAACAATGACTTCCGACACAGAACCACCCGCAAAAAAGCTGAAACAAACGGAAGAAATAAAATTCAACATGAGCAGACTAAAGCAACTACACGGAGCAAAGGGCGCTCCAACAAATGTAACCGGGGTTGCGTACTACATGCATAGAGACCAGCGCGTGCAAGACAACTGGGCGATGATATACGCGCAGAGTCTCGCGACGCGCCACAACGCACCTCTCCACGTAGTCACCCTAATAACTACGATCCACCCCACTGAACCCGGCGCAACTCTCAGACATCTCAGGTTCTGTTTTGATGGTTTGAAGGAGGTTTCAGAGGAACTAGCCGAACTAAACATTCCATTCCACTTACTGATAGGCCAAGGCGCTGGCGACGGGAAGATTGCGGAGTGGATGAAACAGTGTGATGTTAATTGTCTAATTACAGATTTCAGTCCACTCCGACAGCACAGAGGTATTCTAAAACAACTGACCAGTGCGCTTCCAGACAACACCACAGTGTATCAGGTAGACGCACACAACATTGTCCCGGTAGAGGTTACTTCAGAGAAACAGGAATACGCTGCGCGCACTATCCGCAAGAAAATCACATCTCAGTTAGGAACGTTTCTCACTGAATTTCCCAAAGTTACACGACATGCTTTCGGTGATGCTTCAACAACAACTCGACATTTTGCTGACAAAACCGGATTATCAAAAGAGATGAAAGAAGACTGGGACTCAGTGTTACAAAGTCTAAAACTGGACTTCTCAGTGAAGCCCAGCGAGTTGTTTCAAGGTGGAACTAAAGCAGGTCTTGCTTGTCTCGAAGCTTTTGTTAAGAAGCGGATAAAGATCTACACCGACAAAAGAAACGACCCCACAGAAAATGCGCTCTCTAATTTATCTCCCTGGTTTCACATGGGGAACCTATCTGCGCAGCGCGCTGTACTGTACGTTAAGAAACACGCTAGCTCGTACAGCGCTTCCTTTATAGAAGAGTCAGTTGTGCGCCGGGAACTGTCTGATAACTTTTGCTTTTACAACCCTCACTACGACAGTGTTAAGGGGGCTAGCAAGTGGGCGCAGGAAACACTGGAGACTCACAAGGAAGATAAACGAGAGTTTGTGTACACGAGAAAGGAATTTGAAGAAGCTAAAACCCACGATAATCTCTGGAATGCTGCCCAGAGGCAGTTGGTGAAGGAGGGAAAAATGCACGGGTTCATGAGAATGTACTGGGCCAAGAAGATACTAGAATGGACGGAGAGTCCGGAGCAAGCACTGGAAGAAGCACTGTTCCTCAATGATCATTTCTCTCTGGACGGGAATGATGCTAATGGGTTTGTTGGGTGCATGTGGTCTATTTGTGGCATACACGACCAGGGATGGGGGGAGCGGGCTGTGTTCGGGAAAATACGGTTCATGAATTACAACGGTTGTAAGAGAAAGTTTGATATTGAAAAATACATTGCCAAGTATAATAATTATAAAGAGAAGAAATGAACTTAGCTTTTTGTTATCTTGTACTTTTGTGCAGTCATTAAATGGCATTAATATCCCTTTGTCATTCAGATAACTTTGAACAGTTAACAGTATGCTTGATGGAGATTAATGGCTTTTCTTTACTTGTTGAGATAATTGCTTATTTTTAATTTACTTATTCAATATTTTGATGTTTTTTGCATGACAGTTTATCATTATAATATGCAAGTTAAAAGCTTGCCATAAAATGTGACAGTGACCCCTTTATAATTTTGTATTTATTTCCATCGGATTGATTTATTTATTCAATTCTCATCCTTTAACAATGAAGCTGTGAGATATTTTCACATAATAATAAAATATTAAACTATTAATACATTTCAGTTTTCATTTAATGATTATTGAGTTTCAATTTTTCGTCTTCAATTTATACATGTAGTACGCACTACGAAATAATGTATAGAAATATTGAAAACGTACCAATGCAATTTAATTTACTTAAGCGTATTCAGATGAAATCAGCGCTTTATATACTAACATCACTGAAACTCAGCACTATATAATAAACCCTAACTTGCTGCAATCAAAGGACACATTTAAAAAAAGAGTAGAATGTAATTTTAGTGACATCATGCGCCAAATCCACACAACAATGTAGATCATTATGTATTACACTGTAGAAACCATCTCTTTTACCCGCTATTACAATGATGAATGATCTCATCGCAATGTCTAGCGCTACAATTGAAGGAATGTATTTGGTGAGTCACAAACTTGACATTTCTTCTAGTTAGATAACCATAATACAGCACAAAATTACAATCTCAGAAATATGACCAAATACCGTCTAAATACTTGAAATATTTAACATCAGCTCTGGAGTTATCCTCCGGTGTTGGATATACACATTGCAGATGTTGTCAACTCAACATCTAAACGTTACAACATGTCACCCTCTGTAACAGAGCATGACATTAACCAATAATTAATATAACACACGGATATTTATTATGTTTCTACATTCGAGCGACTTAAAAAACATAATTAATAAAACTTTACTCACGGCTTTATATTATCTAGACGTTTCTACAGATAACCCCACATCAACATAACTCTGTACCTAGTAGTGTTGAAACTCACACTTACCAACTCGACAATTAGCTGGGTACTTGCTAATAATACATGCAGTTAGCTAAGGAATGCTGGTTTCAACTGGAGGTATGCGCAGGGGGAACTACGTTATTCACCCATTAATGTGCTCACTTAATGTTGCTACAGTGTGGTGAGCTGTTGCAGTCTAGTGTGCTAGCTGCAGTGCTACTACAGCAGCTAATAATGCGCTATTTACAGTGTTTATCTAGCGTTGAGTGCATCAGGAGCTGAACATGGCACTTATTTTCATGTTGCTCTGGTGGTCACAATGTGTAGCACCAAGTGCCAAATTGTGTAGCTCTACAATGTGTAGCACCATGTGCGCATTCTCATGGGCCGTTTAATTAACTATCCCAGAAATATGAAACATACCATTTGAGAGCTGTTGATTCCACTGTTAATTAAACCAATAATTCACTATCTCAATCTAGTGGCCTATTGAATAACAACATTCCTTCTTGAATATCAACATTCCATCATACTAATGCACTGCCAGTTGTTATGATAACTGTAGTGAGAAACACACTAAAACACATTGTATCTGTATCATCGCTTTGTTTACACATAACTTTGCACAGAGCAAAGTGTACTGTGTACAATTATATTAAATATAAACATTACTTGTACACGCTACAGTTTCACTGTAAATCGGGACTCGAAAAATTGTGCTTTGGCTAAACACTATCTTCTGATCACACTCTAGTAGGAATCATAAAGTAACCACACCCTTGCAATTTGCATGGTACTCATTCTTAAATGTATAATCCCAGTAAAAACTCATGAAGATTAGTGACTGGAGATTACTCCATGAGTATGGAAGATAAGTAATGCCAGTTCAAGTTACACAATATGAAGTAAACACACAGTTTAGACTTTAGATAGACAATGTATTGAAAATATGCGAGCACAGCAGTGAAAACTGTGGTGAGCTGTGTGGATCTGTGGTGATCTGTGTGGATCTGTGTAGGTCTGTGTGGGTCTGGTATAGATTGTACTAGCTGTAGAAGTAACTAGTTTTGCTCTTGATCTAAATTGTGGTCTGGCTAGCTAAGGATGAGCCATTAAATAAACATTTGTCAGACGCAGCAGCATGTACAGACACCACCTTCAAGAACTGTATTTTAAAGTTTTCAGTATAATAATATGATATTTTGCTAAGATTATGTTTGCGTTTCATTGCTCAACAGCTGTTCGAAGGATCAAATATAAGAATATGATATTGTGATATAATATGTGAGTCATTCTCACGAGTGTTGGCACGAGAGTTTTAGTGTCTAACTCGAGAAAGTAACGCTGATTTGAAACGAGCGGAATATTATATGAGATGATGATATTACCATGTTCTATTTATAGAACTCTACTACTTAATACTACTTGACAACTGAGCTATTAAACTGTGTCAGTAATAACTTTTCATCTGCCCCTCTGGCCTCTGAACGATAAGTGTCCATAAAAACTGTTGTAATACTTTATACTAAATGTAAAGAGGTGTTTTGCAATGTCAAAAGTTTTTTATTTGTTCGATTTAGGAGATTATTATAATATTTGTCACAGCGTTAATACCACACTGCATGTTTGTCATACTTCTAATATCTAACATTACTGCAATTCACAACGATCCGAGAATGCAATGCTATCACGTGACATTCACATATCAAGCTCACTTTACTATTGCTAGGAATGAGTTCTAATTCGCTGCCAATGGTTCATCGCTTGGCTCTTTACTATAGACACAAAATATATATTATTTATTACATTTATAGTGGAGAAATCATTTAGAGGAGAAATGGTAATCATAACAATCGTGTACCTAGATAATGGTGAGGATATTTGCTCATGGAGTAATCTCCAGTCACTAATCTTCATGAGTTTTTAATGGGATTGTACATTTAAGAATGACTACCATGCAGGGGTGTGGTCACTTTGTGATTCCTACTAGAGTCTTAGAGTGTCATCAGAAGATAGTGTTCAGCCAAAGCACAATTTTTCGTGTCCCGATTTACCAGGACCCCGATAAACTGAGTCTTTTTCAGAGATCGTCAACATCTTCTGTATTTTGGGGTCGTTCACATATTATTACGTAATCACTATTTGCTTTGGCTCGTGGCAATTATTTTAGGTTTTGATCGGTTAATGCTGGAAGCTGATAGGTTAATCGCTGTGACATTTCAGAAAAATTTGGTTAACCCCTCCAGTATCCAAATCTAAAGTTTTTTGTGCGCTTATTCTAAGCACTACAAGTGTAACACATCCTACACAACACACAGGTGAAACATATCAAGGCTAAAAGAGTAAAACCAGTTTCCGGTACACAGTACATTTTATTAAGTTTATACCAGTAATACTCATATATATTGGAAAATTCCATGTACACTTGTGCAATATATTAACTATTGCTGTGATATGAATGTGCCCATATTTATTTTAACATCCTGCGAAGGGTAAAATTGGCAAATAAAATTTATGGCGGTTATTTTGGGAACCACCAATAATATTGGGCTTAGTTAAGTTCGTGATAATTACCTTAATTATCAATTACTCGTTATAATCACTGATTGCATATGATATACATTATAATTTAATTTTCTGTCAAATCTCGCTCCAATCCATAGCAGCACCCCTGGTGATCAGAAGAAAAAACTATCCATATTTCTCGATGGATGAGATAAATACGTGACAACAGCCGAAACAGTTTTTTATTTGTAATGCAGGGCGCTCATTGGTCGAAGCATGCAGTTGCAGGGCACTCATTGGTCGAAGCACGCAGTTGCAGGGCACTCATTGGTCGAAGCACGCAGTTGCAGGGCGCTCATTGGTCGAAGCACGCAGTTGCAGGGCGCTCATTGGTCGAAGCACGCAGTTGCAGGGCGCTCATTGGTCGAAGCACGCAGTTGCAGTGCGCTCATTGGTCGAATCACGCAGTTGCAGGGCGCTCATTGGTCGAAGCACGCAGTATCCTGGTCCTCTAGGGACAGGGGTTTAACACAGCAACACGAACTGTTTTCTAGTAGTGCGCACATTATATTATACGTCCTACAAGTAGTTATTTGTTATGTTCATTCCATACACCATGTGGTCCGTGTAATTCAAATTATTATATTCAAACGATTGAAGAATTAAGGTCGATGATGGCCTAAATAATGTGATTACTGATTATATTGCATATTGATGAAGACAGTCTTTAGTGCTGGATCTACAGCAGGGTGTCATAATTGTTAAGTTATGACCTCTTGAAAAATATTGATTTCATCATAAAACCCTGCTGTTCGACCTCTCGTGAGAAATTCCCCCATAATGTACTGCGTGTGAAACTCAGATTCTAAAGGAGTGGGAAAAGTAACCCGTACTTCAGAGTGATTGATTTTGTACACGATGATTTGTTTCCTTTGCTGAATTTATTAGGAGGGAGACTATTACAGCTGCCCTCTGGTCCTCTGCGGAAGTAGTTCTACTGTATTATAAAAACTGGGAGGTGGAGATAAAATTTGTAGACGTAGTAGCGCAAATGTGTGCGCGCGCAAGGCGCCTAGGCCAAGTATGCATGTACGTCATATGTGCCGATCATCGACATAAATATCGACTCTGGATTTGTGGGCTCTGTGGATTTGTGGGCTCTGTGTTCTGAAGTTCCGAAAGGTGGTAAGATTTGAAAATATCGTAATCAATCGGATACGAATGGGAATAAATCGTAAGCTGTAAATTATGAGTGGCAATTGTATCGAGCGTGGTCAGTAATGTACGACATACGAGATCTCCTAATTAGAAGGGTGTTTGACGATCGCTGTGATAATGGATCTCCTATAATATAAACAAGTCGTGAGCTGCTGAACCACTCTAGACGCTGAAACCAAAACTAGCTGGAATCGGTGTATTTTTTAACACCGATACCAAATCAGCAGTACGCTAACATGCGGTTTCAATGCTTCCCTAAAATTTGATCGTAGAAAAAATGTTTAGATCCCTTCACATGGCCCGGCCATATAATAAAAGGAAGTAAGTGATTCCTCGATAGGGTTTAAGTTTAAGATTGTCCGCCCGAGCTATCCAGAGGGCGTGTTGAACTTGGTCACGTTATAATAGCCCAATTTATCGTCATCCGGCAGAGCCCATAACGACTCATATCAACAGTTACGTTTACTGGGTAGGGCGGCGCTCAGCCTGTCATTCCGCCGAATCTCTATTTCATATGTTTATGAACATAATAGCCCCCAGGTAACAGTTACGTTCGAATACAATATTCGACCAGGTTTGTCATATTAGATCGATTGAGCTGAGCGGAGGTCAAGGGAGCGCAGCGCGCATGCATGCGCGCGCGCACGTACCGACAATATGTTGCGCGAAAACAAGAAAACTTTTTACAGTGAAGAATACAAATTTGCTAGTTCTTTGGTGTTTCTCGCAAATATGTCCCGTATTGACGCCTTTAAGTAAAAATGAAAAACGGGTTTTAATTGAGTGTATAAATTCGCTAAGTATAAACATGCAGCCATGAAATAAAAACTGTAAAATACCACAATCATACGAGGCTCAGAAATAAAGAATCTTTACGCACTTCAAACTAAACGCAAAATATTTGTTCCAAATTTAAAACTCCTTCACTGGAATTTGATGACCAGAATACAATGCGACCTGAATGACGCATTCCGACACCACAAACCGATAATTACTCCAAATACCGCAGAATTACAGGGTCCATGTTACGGAGGACTTAATTAGAGTGTAGAATTGTAAGTGTGAGGTTTAATCGTTTATATTTTTACACAGACCTATATTATGGTATTTATGACAAAATATTATTATAAAATGTGCGTGGAATTCGCTGAGATGTAGATAATATATATTCTTATTCAATATTCACTCGATTCCTTTAACGTAATTTTGGAATGCCCGCAAGGAAAACTTGCACATCAAAACTAACTTGCCTCCAAAAATAACTTGAAACTTTAAAATTAACGACCTAATTAATTAATGATACAAATTCTTTAAACACGAAAACTCATAATGTTTCAAAATCCCCTTTCAAGGTTAATTGAGTAACGGTTGATTGTAAAGAGGTTAAACACTAAAATTAATTTTCTGCAAATAATGCACCGGAACTATTAGCGCAGCTTGCCCCTTAATCTAGAGCTCCTCTTAAAACTAACTAACCTTACCTCGCACAATTTCATATCACATATTTCACATAACATGAAACCATGCATTTGTTCTAATATCAATGTCAGTGTCAGGCTAAGATCAGGGAATGTGCATAGTAAACAATTTTTTGCTGAAAGAAGAAACAGAAATGAAGGGGGCAAACTTTTTGAGCGCAACCTTAAATAACGTCAAAAATATTGATTCCAGCGCAATCGGTAAATTTTCCAGAAATATATATATGAGTGGATTAAAATCAAAGCTAATCAATTTAAAGACACATTTGTATCAATCAATTGCATTAATTTAAGATTACTGCGACAAACTTGTGACAGAAGTCAGAAGTTTTACACGGCACGCCCCTAAAAACCACATAACATACCTGAAATCATATTTTATAGTAAAAAGTAATTATGCACTGTGAAGTAATTAAGTTTGGATTATTACTGCTCTGAAGAACGTATGACACTCTAGTTGACTGTTTGAGAGTTGGGCATCCTCCTGTAAAAGTACCAGGACGGTATTTGCTTCAGAACAATTGCACAATTAAGTGCACATCACGTGACATGTCCGCTCATCACGTGATCTTGTGACGTCATAGTCACGTGATCACCGTGAAGATTCCTACTTCTAGGAACTTAACAAGACACACGATACAGCGTGCACAATCGCGCTGAACAAAACACAGTCAAACCGCAACTTACCTTGCCTCAATTTACCATGCATTATTGCCCTCCCCCAATAGGTCCAGTAAATGGGGGTTTGACTGTGAACGAACCAAACTGGACGGGAAACAAAGCATCAGCTCTGGTGAGGTCATAGTCACGTGACCTCAGGCTCACGGTCACGTGATATCACAACAGGCCCTGCAAACTGAATTTACCACCAACCTCAAAACTAAGCTCACCATCGTGGCATACGTTTATCATTTACATCTACCAATCTTTATATTTATAAACAGATGCATGCTGGCATCAAAACATATATATAAACTAAATAAAACAATTTAAAACGAATTTTTAAAATTAACAAAACCTATAATATATCACAATTCAATGGAATGTCTTAATCGATTACAGTATAAGGGCTGGATTATGTACGCACTTCCAGAGGGCATTTTCCTTAAGTTTATTTCCGTCATCTGAAAAGAGAAGGTAGTTTAGAATTGATGAGTTTGCGTTCAGGGACAAAACAAAGTGTAGTAGGATATCATATATGAACAAATAATTGGGAAGAGTAAATCAATTAGGATTTTCGCTGCTGCTTCTCTGGATAAAGCTTTTTTTGTGTTTTGAACCGTGACTAGAATTATCCGTGACGTGTCTGACAATTGAACTAAGCTGTGATCAAGTGTCAAAATAAACAATCGCATTTGAACACTGCGAATATTTCGTGGCATTTCATTTATATAAACTTGGGAGTGCTTTTTTAAGTGCTCTTGATTGGAATCTCAAAATTTTACACTATGCGAAATCTTAATTATTCATCAGGCAAGCAATGAGGCCTGCAGTGGAATTTAAAGAATCTCTGTTTATCAAATGTTGTAATCTATGTGGTACACTTACGACAGTTAAATGATAATCATTACATTGGATACTCATGATCCTGATCATCCCTGATTCAAAAACAACCAGTAAAATCCAAATAATTCCAGATTTGGAAATAAGACGTGAAAAATTAGGAAACACGCAGTAAAACCCAAATACTTCCAGATTTGGAAATAGGACGTGAGAAATTGGGAAACACGCAGTAAAGTCTAATAAATTGTGGTAACAGGACGTGAACGTGATTTGTTTAAATCACCCAGGAATTCGGCAGAGCAGAAAATGAGCTATGTAACCAGGTTTGGGGTAAGGTGGCAGTCAGATTTAGGGTACCGTCAGGTCAAGACAAAAAATTTCCTGAACCCCCCCCCCCCCCCCCCCCCCCCCCCCCCCCCCGGCCCCAAACTTACTTCTTAGAGCCCTTCTCCTTCCTCTTCTCCACTAGCTCGTACAACTTCTTCAACCGTTTCTTGTACTCCTCCGGTAGTTTACCATAACATTTCTTACAGAACGGCCTGAAACATTGTTCTGGAATGTTCCAAATATGAAAGGATTTTAATCAAATTAAATATTTTGACAGTCTCAAATATTTACATTATATAATGGTAGTTATCAATGTTAGTTTAGTGCCAAAGTTGAAGTGTGATATGAAGTTAATTAAACTTGTGGCCATTTCTTGGGGACCATCTCTAATCTATCTACTCCCAGCTATTAGCTAGATTGCCCCTGATTAACTGATTACTAATCATCAATTAACTAATTACTAATTAACTAATTACTAATCATCAATTAACTAATTAATAATTAACTGATTACTAATTATCAATTAACTGACAACTTACTGCAAGTCTACTTCCAAGAATTTGACACTACTAGTTTTAAGGATTCCATCACATCCGTGGCACAGGAAATGTTCTTCACACCACGTCTTTCCAAACTGAGATACCTGTGAGAAATCAGGTGAAAGTGAAAGTGAAACAAACGTGTGAAGGTGAAAGTGAATCATGTATGGGAGTGAGCTTGAAGTTGAACCAAACAGCTGATAACAGTATTCTCATTTTGGCGATCAACAAATTCAGAGTTATTTATAGTTTAACTTCAGAGTTATTTATAAATTTATAAATACTTAAGTTATTTATACTTTAAAGAGCACATTTCTTGATGACAAGTTGAAATCTTTAAATGCCAACAACTTTGTGGAAGGAAAATCTCCAAAAAAGTCTCTATTTAAATTTAATATGATAACCCGTAATATGCAACTCAATTTATCGGTAAATGTTGCAGGTTTTGCGACAGTCTATAAGATTATTCTGAGATTATTCTGAGATTATTATTTAAGATTATTTACAATTAGATAATTAATATTTGTTTACCTCAGCAGCGTTATGTGTACTCTGACAACAGTAAAAGCATGGATCACCGAACAGTTTTTTGTAGTGAGGCTCACAATACGCCATCCCTGCAATAGTTTAATTAGCTAATTAAGTATTTAGTTTTTGGTTTAGTCAAATTTTAGCTATGAATGCCTCAGATCTTACTAATGAATAATATATTATATAATATGTAACACTTTAAGCAGTTCTTAAACCAAAACAAGTACAGTAACCAGTAACCAGTAACCAGTAACCAGTAACCAGTAACCAGTAACCAGTAACCAGTAACCAGTAACCAGTAACCAGTAACCAGTAACCAGTAACCAGTAACCAGTTACCAGTTACCAGTAACCAGAACACTCACCCTTGTTTTCGTAGAACCTCTCTCCAGCGAACGGTTTTTCACAGTGAGCGCAGACAAAATGCTCAGGGTGCCACTTCTTTTCAATAGCAGAAACAGCACGCCCTTCAATAGGCTTCTTACAGGCTGCACATACACTGAGGCATTATACTGTTAATAATGGTTATAAATATACATAATTTCAAAGTTTGAATATAAAAATAAATAAATAAATTCTAACATTTATTACATTCAAGTGAGATATATATCTATATTTAAAATTCAAATTAAACTAAATTTAAATCTATATTATTATATATTGCAGTTTGCTTTATTTTTCGATATTCATGAACGTAGATTATTTGAAGGTGATTTTGGTGCAGGTTTCTATTTCAGATGTGACAGGTTTACAAGGAAACTATAAATGAAATTATTTAAGTTCTGGGAGACATTCCCGACATTCAATAATTCGTTCCTGACAACATTATAATATGGATAATTGCTTCATAAGTAAAACGTGCAAGGTACCATCACAGTTCACACTACTCACTAGTACAGTACTCTATAATAGAGTACAGTACTCTATAATAGAGTACAGTACTCTATAATAGAGTACAGTACTCTATAATAGAGTACAGTACTCTATAATAGAGTACAGTACTCTATAATAGAGTACAGTACTCTATAATAGAGTACAGTACTCTATAATAGAGTACAGTACTCTATAATAGAGTACAGTACTCTATTATAGAGTACTGTACTCTATAATAGAGTACAGTACTCTATAATCTACAGTAAACCTAGAGTAAATTTAATCTATTGGAGTACTCATCTTATCTTTATAGTTTATTAGTTACTGATGATAAACGTAAATATTCTGTAAAGATTTAATTGAAGCTTTTTGAAACTCATTCGTTGTCTGACTGCGGGAAATACTGATTATGAACCTTGAGTAAATGTACACGATACACTCTGCATCTCTGCAGTACAGCTAGTATATATATATACTCAGCAGCAGCTCAGTGCAGTTATAAATAGAATTCATATAATCTTCATTTATAACAGCAAGAAGTACACAAGGTATAATATAATGTGAGGTGTTCTGTTCAAGCGCATGTAATCACTCGACTGAATCAAGTACAGGGGAAAGTTGAGTAAATTAACTGTTAATTACTGGATTTATTATTTACTGAAACACAACAGATTTAAGTAATATTGTGTTAGCTACATTTCACAGCACTGAGAAGTGTACAACTATTTACCGCACATCGACAAACACACACACACACACACACTGCACTTGTAAGTGTGCACGTGCAAAAATCACACACTTACACGTGCAAAAAGCGCGTACATTAACACCAGTTGTAAGAGTTGCACCGCAGCGTGACAACACACTATACACACTATACAACTCTCCCAATGCTTCAAAGAGAGAGACGGAGTGATGAGTGATGACAGCTGAGAAGCACATGTATATTCCGTATTATGTTGTGAGCTTTTCGTGTACTGTGTGCTTTGCAGGGTATATCTAATCAGAGAGCTGTATTCTGGTCACGTGGTTTAAACTAACCAATCAGAGAGCTGTATTTTGATCATGTGGTTTAAACTAACCAATCAGAGAGCTGTATTCTAGTCACGTGGTTTAGACTAACCAATCAGAAAGCTGTATTCTAGTCATGTGGTTTAGACTAACCAATCATATAGCTGAGAAGCACCTTATTCAGCGTTATTTCAGCGTAGAAAGTGTTTGAGTGCTAACTTAACTTTTTATATAAAATCAAATCATGTCTCGTACGTCATAGACTTTGCTGACCTTTAATCATTATAATATTAAAATATCAGGTAATATTAATATGTCAGATAGGAATTAATTAAAATTATATATTTAGATTGAACATTTGAAATAGAACATGTTCACTAGCATCGTATCAAGCCGATAAATTTTATCAAGAAACGTCAGTTAAATTTAATTTATTAATTAGTTAATCAGTTACATTAAATTTCTCCACTCATTTAAAACGTTAACAGAATCGTTCGATACCTGTATTACTATCAGTTTAACAGTCTTAATTTAGATATGCTGCATATTTGAGCGTCAACAGTCAACCCGGTCAATCATATTATAGACCAACCAAAAGCCGGTAATTACACCACATGATCGCTGATTAACCAATTACAGTACAACCAGCACGTGATCAGACTACATAGTCTATATATTTAGTCACGTGATCAGACTATATAATATAGTCTCATATTTTCTCGCATGCTGGTACCACTGAATACACTGTGAAGAAGGACAATGCTGCTAAAGACTTCCCAAATCATTTTACTGCCAATCAGAGTAAGATGACAGGTTTCGGCTGCTACGAGAACCAATGATTTTGTCGTGGATGTCTGCAGTTGTGTGGTCATACTGACACGTGACACGTGACACGTGACAGGGTGACACGGTGTCTGGTAATGTAACTTGAATATTTGCACCCTCCTCCCATTACTTAGTAAGTACTGTAGGTTTAGCTTAGTAAGTACTGTAGGTTTAGCTTAGTAAGTACTGTAGGTTTAGCTTAGCAAGTACTGTAGGTTTAGCTTAGTAAGTACTGTAGGTTTAGCTTAGTAAGTACTGTAGGTTTAGCTTAGTAAGTACTGTAGGTTTAGCTTAGTAAGTACTGTAGGTTTAGCTTAGCAAGTACTGTAGGTTTAGCTTAGTAAGTACTGTAGGTTTAGCTTGGTAAGTACTGTAGGTTTAGCTTAGTAAGTACTGTAGGTTTAGCTTAGTAAGTACTGTAGGTTTAGCTTAGTAAGTACTGTAGGTTTAGCTTAGTAAGTACTGTAGGTTTAGCTTAGCAAGTACTGTAGGTTTAGCTTAGCAAGTACTGTAGGTTTAGCTTAGTAAGTACTGTAGGTTTAGCTTAGTAAGTACTGTAGGTTTAGCTTAGTAAGAACTGTAGGTTTAGCTTAGTAAGAACTGTAGGTTTAGCTTAGCAAGTACTGTAGGTTTAGCTTAGCAAGTACTGTAGGTTTAGCTTAGTAAGTACTGTAGGTTTAGCTTAGTAAGTACTGTAGGTTTAGCTTAGTAAGAACTGTAGGTTTAGCTTAGTAAGTACTGTAGGTTTAGCTTAGTAAGTACTGTAGGTTAAGTAAGTACAGTAGGTTTAGCGGCCAGGTCTACGCCCTCAATCGTGGGAATCGTTTTTCCCAAACATCATAGTGTTTAAGTGTATGTAAGTTAGTTTGATGCTGTTAATAGGAAGACGAAGTGTAGACAAACATAGTTCAACTGTTTCATAGGCTCGATCTGTTACGTGATTGAATCCCCACTTTTGGTTGGTTGAAATCACCACGTGGCGAAGACCTTGGTTTTCATTGGTTGTTGGAGTGTTGGTTGAGGTAAACATATAATAAATGTACGAGTAAAACTCAACAGAAGTGGGTGTATTTGGCCGGATGTAGGCTTATTAAAATAGTGTGGTTTGTAGGAGTACACACTTTTTATATAATAACATCTTACTGGAGTCCACTAGGAGACACCTAAGAGGCTCTTAGGAGACATCTAGAGTACACTTAGGAGACATCTAGAGTACACTTAGGAGACATCTAGAGTACACTTAGGAGACATCTAGAGTACACTTAGGAGACATCTAGAGTACACTTAGGAGACATCTAGAGTACACTTAGGAGACATCTAGAGTACACTTAGGAGACATCTAGAGTACACTTAGGAGACATCTAGAGTACACTTAGGAGACACCTGAGAGGCACTTAGGAGACATCTAGAGTACACTTAGGAGACATCTAGAGTACACTTAGGAGACATCTAGAGTACACTAGGAGACACCTAAGAGGCTCTTAGGAGACATCTAGAGTACACTTAGGAGACATCTAGATTACACTTAGGAGACATCTAGAGTACACTTAGGAGACATCTAGATTACACTTAGGAGACATCTAGAGTACACTTGGGAGACATCTAGAGTACACTTAGGAGACATCTAGATTACACTTAGGAGACATCTAGAGTACACTTAGGAGACATCTAGATTACACTTAGGAGACATCTAGAGTACACTTGGGAGACATCTAGAGTACACTTAGGAGACATCTAGAGTACACTTAGGAGACATCTAGAGTACACTTAGGAGACTGACCAAGTCATAAACTAAGCTCAGTTAATGTAAGAGCCGCTTTAGAAAGCACTGGAGTTTATCTCCAGGATTAAATTATATATCGAGTTATATGATTTAGCTATTACCGGAATTACCCTGCAGTTCCACGGCTCAGTTTTGCAACCAGATTTGCTCACATTTTTTCTCACATTTTTGCGACAGGAAATGAAATTCAAAAATATTTCTCCGCACGGAGAAATATTTTTGATATGACCCAAAACTCCGTGAAAGCAGTTTTGTTTACAATGTAAACATTATAATGCGCCCACGTGCGCGCGCAAATCTGCGTGCAAAAATACCAACCGTGGGAACGTACATTGTAAACAAAACTGCCTTCGCGGAGTTTTGCCTTTCAAAACTCTTTTCGCGGAGTTTTGTGTCAAATCTGGTCGCATAACTGAGCCGTGGAACTGGGCTGTTAGGCGGTTTATAAATGTTGTATTTATTATTATTTATTATAATATAAAGCTATATTCCAAACATATAAAGATATTAGAGCCTGGTATTAGTACGGTAGAAGTCATGTTTTAAAAGTGGTGTTATTTTTTGGTGGCGAGGTTTTCAGACCGAAATAGAAAAATTAATGAATTAAATGGAAATTGAGTAACTGGACTTCGAAGGGTATCAGATTACCAGTTACCACCTTATTATATAAGTTTTGTACGTGATTTTACAAACTACTAAACTAGATAAATGCTAGAGAAGTGACAGTGATTATCCTGTATCTAATTGTTGCTTAATTCTAGACACGTGACAAGAACAAACCAATCAGAGCTCGCATTTAATCACCTGATCTCCTTAGTGTCGTAACAGGGTAAGCAGAAGAGATGAGAATGGAGTTCTTTAGCCCGGTGAGTCAGAGGCCGGTGACAGTCGAAACAATCGAAATGGTGAGGGTGGTACGGTTCACCCTGTGGGAGTGTAAGGAGTTAAATAAATGAAGTAAAAATGTTTACAGCACTTTATCGGTAAATATTTGAAATATTCAAAATATTATAACAGGTCACAGTGCTGGCAAGCATGACCGTTGACATTATAGTCACTATACTATTTACCCCCTATACTATTATACCTCCTTCACAATATTGAATCACCGTAAATGCCTGAAAAACAGTGAAGTTCACTGTTTTTCAGGCATTTACGGTGATTCAATATTGTTTGCGCACGCAACGTCCACTCAAAATTTGCACGTGCGAAAGGTGAGAATTTTGCTCATTCGTGATTTCGAACAAATTTTGCTTTCCCACGACAGTTAAATGGCATTATATTTGAATTTAATGCTAACTTGAATGAATATAAAGTGGCATATTCAGTCAATGATCGACACATATGCTTACTTAAACACAAAGAAATGTTTTCAAAGGTAAAATTTCGAAATCATTGAAATTACCTCCTTATTAATGAAGTTATGAGTTTACATTTCGACTTTGTAAAGTACCCTGAAATTATAATCAAAAAGAGATGATATTTGACCAAAACCTATAATCATGGTTAGAGTGGACCGCTGCCAGTGTTTCTCTTTCCCAAACAAAATGAAATGATATTAATTTGAATAACCGTCCGCAAATGCAAAATGATACCGATAATGATAATTTCCTTTTGTTTGGGAAAGAGAAACACTGGCAGCGGTCCACTCTACCCATGATTATGGGTTTTGGTCAAATTATTAATCCGTTATTCAAATGTAACAGAGTCGATATATAAATGTTGCCATTAGGTGGCAAGTCCACGTCCCCATACATCGTGGTCCGAAAGTTTCATTGCGTTTGATTATAAAACAATATTAAAATGGCACCTAGCTTATTGTAACATATTTTATAACGAATAATTACTTTTAACACAGGATAACCTATCAGTTGACAAACTCAGTGGTCACAGAAATTATCGTTCCTTTATATTACTACAATAAAGTAACTTACCTTGAAAGTGAGATGGTCTGTATCTATGATGTGGTTACACCGCGCGCATAAATACTTGCTGTCTGCTGCAGCACGTGCTCGAGCCGCACACGGCTTACACGTGGGGTTACCCTGCAATGTTTGAATATAATTCATATATTTAATAAGTTTCACTTGTTCAACATGTTTAACATATTTTGCATATTTTATACATTATATCTTAAATACATGTTACATTTAAAAGTATGAGTAGATGTAATAATATAATATTATTATTATATAATATAATAAAGATTGGAAATTGTAGAGCCATGTGACAAATAAAAACAGTTTTGTCAAACAGTGCAGTTTGATCAATTTATGACTAAATTGTTTGATTATTCACACAATATCCATTATCCAATTAGGCAGCTACATTCAAGTAAAATATAACAAACTATCGAATCAGTGAGTTGCATTCAAGTGTTGAATGTTCGTAATTTATGACAATCACGTTGTTGCGACAAATAACTAACTACATAATATTATTATCTTCTAAAAAATGCGACTAATAAACAATACGTTCCGATCCGGAAATTACATGTGTTTTAGTCACATGACACAAACTAACCAATTATAAACTTGATATTTTAAGTCACATGACACAAACTGACCAATCAGAGAGCTGTACCTGGTATTTGACGAAGCCACCGTTGAGTTCGTCCCCACAAATGTAACATGTGAAACATTTAGGATGCCACTTGGAATTCTTGTGCGTGAAAATTCTACCTGTGCGATAATGTGATTAGCAAAATATAAGAATTCGAATTTGTGATCAGTACATTTAATACTGACTGAGTTCATGCAATGCAAAAAATAAACTTTCAGTTTTAGGGATCTCTTATTCTAACATTTTACCACCTCTTATCTACAATACATGTACATTCTTCGCCATTGATTGCTCTACTTTTTTTTGGAGCTGGTGGTATCACAAAATAAACAGAGCTGCATATTCAGAGGGCCGGGGTAGCCACTCTTCTTCGTCACAGTGTCATCACACACTGTCACATCGCACTGTCACATCGCACTGTCACATCACACTTGCACTGTCACATCGCACTGTCACATCACACTTGCACTGTCACATCACACTGTCACATCACACTGTCACATCACACTGTCACATCGCACTGTCACATCGCACTGTCACATCGCACTGCCACATCACACTTGCACTGTCACAACACACTGTCACAACACACTTGCACTGTCACAACACACTGTCACATCACACTTGCACTGTCACAACACTGTATCACTGTCTCACTGTCATATCTCATGACTAATGATGAGTGAAGAACAAAATAACACCGTGTTTCACAGCGACTGTTTGGTTAAAGAAGTCGTACCACAGTAATATTCATAATATTAATAATATATCAGTAATATTAATAATATTAATAATATATCAGTAATATTAGTAAAACATCAGTAATATTAATAAAATGTCAGCAATATTAATAAAATATCACCACTCCTATTACAATATATCCCAACTTTATTACTAATACCGCATAACATTACAATATATCCCAACTTTATTACTAATACCATATTACAGTGATTTGTGTACTACCGATAACACTCCGTGTAATGTATATAATATTGTTAGTAGCTGTGTAACAAACCAAAGTTCGTGTAACGTTATCAGCGATATGGCAGCTTACGTACTAGCATCGTAACTACTATTCACTTATTGATAACTTTTTGACTAAACTAAGTTGTAATATTTGTTAATAACTTACTTAATATTAATAGTATTATAATAACATGATCTCATTAACTTTATTCACAATAAACTTGATGGAAATTAGTAAACTATTACATTTATTCACAATTTGTTTTTACTGATAATAAGTGATAATTAAACGTGTTATCTGCGGGAGGAAGAAGCTTTAAGTTCAGTTTGCACTTTCACTTTGCAGCATTATGCTGCAAAGTTACTTACCAGCAGCTTACTTACCGTAAGTTGCCCCCCGGCCCCAATCCCTCCCCCCTCCCGGCCTCTCTCATCGCGCTGCACTAAAATCAATGACAAGTCACGTAATGACAAGTCACGTACAACAATGACAACACCACACAACAATGACAACACCAGCCCAATAGTAAATCACTGTTAAACACCCCATTAATCGACTGAAAACTAACAATTGTATTGAACAACGTTAAATATCATAATAACTGAACACAGAAGCGCCTGACGTTATTGGCCCTGTCAACATGACTTACGTCAAGGACCACACCCACGTGACGTCACACCCTCGTGACGTCACACCCACGTGATGTCACACCCACGTGGGTCGTGACGTCAGGACCACGTGACGTATAAAGGTATAATAGAATAATCCTGTAATACAACTATAATGATAATACTATAGTTTACTACTGTAAAATATAATATGAATACGGGCCAATCTAGTTCTTCTCTCAGCTTAACGTAACGATTATTACATTATATAATAATATTACATTATATAATAATATTAAATTATATAATAATATTACATTATATAATGCTCTGATACGGTAAAAGACACAACACAGTTTACAGCAAAGCAGAAGCAACTCTCGTTTGAAACATTTTAAGCTATTAGTATTGAAGCTATTGAAGGTAAAAAATTATCAACCACTTGGAGAGTAAACTTATAACCAGATAAGCTCATAGCTCAGCCATTTTTAGTTATATTGTAATGAAATTCTATTTACGAACTCAGAAGATAAGTATTTCCAAGTGTACCACCCACAAGTTTGGTTTTGGACATAAATTGGAATTGATAGGCAACAAATCAAAAATGGGCTTTGCAGGTACCAGTGAGCGCTCAGGGTCAACGACTCAACAACCCCCTGCAAAGTAAGATGTCTAGTAAACTAAGTAAGGGGTCGTATTCACCAAGGAGGGGGCCGGGGGGAGGGGGGGGGGCGGGGGTTCTAGTGTAATTTTAACATAATAGCTATGCGCAAAACTGATTTCAGAGGAGGAGGGGGGGTTAAAAATTGCCAAAATGTGTTTACGTAATATGTGAACGATCTTTTAAACACTGACCTATAATGTACTTTTAAACACTGACCTAGGCCTATAATGTACTTTTAAACACTGACCTATAATGTACTTTTAAACACTGACCTATAATGTACTTTTAAACACTGACCTATAATGTACTTTTAAACACTGACCTATAATGTACTTTTAAACACTGACCTATAATGTACTTTTAAACACTGACCTATAATGTACTTTTAAACACTGACCTATAATGTACTTTTAAACACTGACCTATGATGTACTTTTAAACACTGACCTATAATGTACTTTTAAACACTGACCTATAATGTACTTTTAAACACTGACCTATAATGTACTTTTAAACACTGACCTATGATGTACTTTTAAACACTGACCTATAATGTACTTTTAAACACTGACCTATAATGTACTTTTAAACACTGACCTATAATGTACTTTTAAACACTGACCTATAATGTACTTTTAAACACTGACCTATGATGTACTTTTAAACACTGACCTATAATGTACTTTTAAACACTGACCTATAATGTACTTTTAAACACTGACCTATAATGTACTTTTAAACACTGACCTATAATGTACTTTTAAACACTGACCTATGATGTACTTTTAAACACTGACCTATAATGTACTTTTAAACACTGACCTATAATGTACTTTTAAACACTGACCTATGATGTACTTTTAAACACTGACCTATAATGTACTTTTAAACACTGACCTATAATGTACTTTTAAACACTGACCTATAATGTACTTTTAAACACTGACCTATAATGTACTTTTAAACACTGACCTATAATGTACTTTTAAACACTGACCTATGATGTACTTTTAAACACTGACCTATAATGTACTTTTAAACACTGACCTATGATGTACTTTTAAACACTGACCTATAATGTACTTTTAAACACTGACCTATGATGTACTTTTAAACACTGACCTATAATGTACTTTTAAACACTGACCTATAATGTACTGTCCACAGCCAGAGCAGATGGGAGCGAAGAGGAGCTCGTAATCTTCTTGACAGTATTTCCTACCCTCGTGCTCAAAGAAGAGACCATCTGGAAATGGCTGTAAGCACTGCGGTAATAGAACAAATAATAAAATAATATACACATGATATAACATGATATAACATGATATAACATGATATAACATGATACATACTGTGGAATATTGTGATACTAGGTGATGTTACTTTTAAATTAATTAACCAACATTAACCAACTTATATAATAATATATTAAATCAATAACCTAGCCAACAAGGCCAAGGGTTTAAATTCCTTTTAAATTCTTAGCCCCCAATTCAATCTTTCAGAGCTATGTCAAATGTGAAATGCTACCTGCAGCATTCTACGGACTTCTGATTAATGAAAATGAACCCTTCGGGAAATCATTAATTTCAAGATTAAAACGTACAACTTATATGAATTCTTTCACCTGAATGCGTATAGTAGACAAATTTAAATTGGATGCCTTTGCGATAAGTCGAGATATTCTCACATTCCGGTGACCAGTGCCCACGCACTTGCGTCTTACAATATAGAACGAATTTACATTTCTACACCATATGCGTAACATATGTCTGTCAAATCGTCAGATAAATCTGAACTATTGGCTTCTGGGAACCTTCGCCGGGGCGAAAATTGAAATTTTTTTGGATAAATGGCGAAGGGCGATATGATCTCCATGTCAATACTATTACTATATAGTCTATATTAAACTGACAATTTATGGGATCATAATGTTTAATACCCATCAAATACTGAAAATATCTATGTATCATTATGCAAGGCCAAGGCCTAATTTTAAACAGATTAACCCTATAACCCACTTTAAATTCATGCTTTTACATCAGTGTTCAAATCCCATCTGTATCAACCAACGAATTACTCGGCTTCTCAATTAAATCAGTTAAATCAATTAACTCATTAAATTACTTAACTAATAACTTATTATTAATTAACTAATAACTCATTAAATTACTTAACTAATAACTTACCTGAACACACACAAAGCAAGCCTGGTGCCAGTGAACTCCGTTTGCGTTCACAACACTCTCATTAGGAGCAAACCCTTCACGGCATATAGCACATAACGAAGAATATGAGGTCATACCTTGGAGTTAATTAATTATCTAATTACTTATCTAATTTCTAGATAATTAATCTTGTAAAAATGGAGGGAGTATTTAGTTGGCGATCAGGAATGTACTTTTAATTATATCTATCATTTTAGTTAAAAGCACAGTGAGTCGATATAATGAAAATTGTCCACGTTGATAATTAAAACTAAAATAATATAATATGTACATTGTACAAATAACTTCACTCAAAAGTACACAAAACAATTTTAACTGTCAATAAATTTGAATTATTTAAACCAGTTTAATAGTATAGTGGTTAAAGGCCACATCAGAGCATCAGGGTCAATTCAATATTTAAACGATATCCTCTTCTGTTATCAATTTAGTATCATGTAAGACGGTCATTCACACATATCTAGAGAAGGCTAAGCTAGGCTGGAGCATATATTAAATACCAAAAACACAAAATATCCAAGACAAGAGGTTAAAAATCCCCACAAAACCCAGGTTTCTGAAAGAACGCTCTTAAAGAAGGGGGCATAGACGTCTGCGTCAGCCAACAACTTTAACAAACCAAGGGAACAAAACATAGGCAAATTCAAGTACTAGAATCATCACAATTAAAGTTATAATTAAACCGATCCAACATAGCATCCCAATCATGTTCCTTATCATAAACCTCTCTTTCTAACCAAACCTTATAATTACTCTCAAAGTCCTTGGGCAGCTCAACCTGGCAATCATCAATAAACTTCTGAACATCATCCGTTGTACTCTCGTCATCAATATGACTTGGTAGATCAGGGAGTTGTGATGTATCAGGGAGCAGGTCACGGTACCACATAGCATGGTACATTGTGCAGGTGAATTCATCTTGTCATCAGTGGGTGCCTCCCATTGTCGGGTGTCTAGGTCACTACCGTAGGCCCAGTCGTCGAGGAGTCTGTGTCGAACGTGTTGGTAGATTGAACTGAGGATCTTCATGTTGGCTTTTCGCCAGTTTTTACCGAGATATTTTGCTTGCAGTTTGAAGAGTTTCAAGACGTAGAGATGGACAAGCCAGTGTGATATTTTCAAGGTTTTCTTCAGAATTGGCGGAGATTTGAATACATTCAGCATCATGGTTCTAGGAGGACGCCATTTAGTTAGTTTCTGGATGATTCTTAGCATGTTGACTGTCGAAAATAGGTTTCTCCAACACATACCCTTTGGTGAGATATCATCTGGCAAGGTGTCGTGGGGTTCAATAATAGTAAATCCCAATTTGGAGGTGTATGAAAGAAATAAACAGAGTTAGGGAAAACCAAACTAGGGATAGAATTGTCAGCAGTAACATACATGTTCATGTCCTGGTTGAGGAATTTAAGGACCAGTGGAATGCAATTAGCGTAAAACATGCACTGGCTGATAAACTCAAACTGATACACGTGGTTTAACCGGAAATGTTTAAGAAGGAGTAGCAAAGATGCAGAAACCGCTTTGGTGATGATTTCCTTGTGTCGGTTCAGATCCTTTTGGAGTCTTTGTGGCTCGATCGGGTTTGGATCTTCTGGCAAAACAAACACTAAAAACGTTTTATGAGATTGCCACCTTTTTTTTTAGCTATGATAGAGGGGTACTAGCGGAAGCTAACAGAACTTTTAACAGAGCAATTATATAATCCTCCATTTTAGGTAGCATTGCTCTGTAGAGATCTTCCGCTGGAGGGTGGAAAAACAATATTTTTCTATTCCTCTTAGGAGTATTGCACATTTTCTCCTCATGTCTCATTGCCAGATCACCATGACTAACATACAAATGCTGCTGAAGGATCTTCACCCCCTCCTGTATAGAGTCAGGTAACCCCACCATAGTTGTACTATCACCTTCCAGTTGGTACCCTAAAAACTTCTGTCTGCAGGTTCTGAGGTACAGTTCAACGTCTGCTTGTCTGGCTTTTGGCTTCCAAGGGAGTCTACGAGAATGTTCTCCGTCCTCGCTGGGACATAACAAGTTGGATTTTTCACTTTCATCTTCCATCATTTCGGACATAGGGATACGGTCTGGAACTGAGGCTGTAAAACTTGCCATTGTGAGGAAGGGAGATCTTTTGGCTCCACCCAAGCGCCCAACCCGTTCTCTTCACGATCTTTATTTTCTCTGAGCAATATCTTCATATTACCCAACGTGGACAGCAAGTATTTCCAGAAAATCAATGTTATTTTCTTGATGGGTAAAATCGAGAGACCTTTCTCAAACGAATAAATCATCTCCAACATAAAAAGTCCTAGGTTAGGGTAACCATGCATAGGCTCAGAAAGTTCCTTGAAGAAAGCACTCCTCTGCTTCTGCACAGAGTCACACTCGGCTGACTTTATCAGGCACATCATGGTGTACAGGGTGTTTAACAACATTCTCATTGCGAAACTTTCTTCTACATGGTCCGATTGCCGGTTTTCTGTTCTGTATTCTTGAAGTTGGAAATGAATTTGTTTTAGGAGTATTGGTAAAAAATCCACATTCGTAGACAAGAAAAGCATTGTCAGTTGAGCCATTCAAACATTCAGCCAACGTGTTACACTCATTGTATTTGCCTTGCAGGATGTACAAAATACACTGTGTACCCAACGAATGGTGCACAACATCTTTCTGCTCGAAAAACTCCAATAACTCACATACAACCTCATCTTGTCGACGTCTGAGAGCGAATACCAGTTTTCAGAGGAATCCAAACTAGATTCAAAGTGCTCAAACGAACTCTGACATCCTTGTAAATCAGATGTTTCTGAGTACGCATACAACTCTGCAAGCTCATTTTCTAAACAATCCTCGTCAGAGTATTCGAAGTCATATTCCGCACTATCGGAATAAATTTCGGATTCTTTTCTTGTTCTCCGGCTGAGGTCTCTAATCTTGTAAGGTAGTGCCTGACGGATACGCAGGGGGGCGTCTGCCATTTCTAAGCCATCCACTGAAAATTGAAGAATCATGTCAGCTTTTACAATTATTTGATAAAACAAGACACTTTCATAAGAATTGTATTTTTATCAAACATCCATGTCACGTATTGGTATGATTTAAGTACCTATGTCATTGTATGTCTGGGAATATAGTTAGAATTTTGTTACTATTTTAAACATTTTACCTTGAGGAATTTTTTGTGCCGACGACTGACGACTACATTATATATAATATAATACATTTCTGTTTATTGCCTTGCCTTAACAATTTTTGAAAGATAAATTATTGATAAATTTTATGACACAGGACATAAAATTTAAATGGTTAAGAACTTGAAGTTAAATGAGTTGACATCATAATTCGATTAATTAACAGTCAGAACCTTTGATTATATATATCTGTATATGGAACTCTTGTTCGATTAGAGACGGAAGTCATTTGAAATTTGCCAGTCAGATCCTTTGATAATATATCTATTATATATGAAACCCTTGTTCGATTACATCAGATTAGAGACGGAAGTCATTTAAAATTTGCTAAATTGATTGATTTGAGAGCATCTAAATATAATAACGATCTAGAGCATAAGGGATTTAATAAATTATTACACAGACCTAACACCTTGAAACTTTCAATATGTCTCTAAATAAACCCGTCTCACAACTCCAGACCACCTCACATTTCAATGAAGCTGAAGATTGGACCAAGTTCTGGAAGTCTATCAGTCCACCGCCTACCCCAAAATAGTGTCTTTTAGAAGCGAAATATGCAACACCATCATCGGTCAAATGATCCTGTAAAACTCGGAGTACCTTTTCCTGAGACTTAATACAATATATCGTCTCAGCACTTAATATCAAGTCATATTTTGAAAACTTTCCTGATAATCTGGACCAATCACCAGCAAGAAACTCAACATGGTGGCTCTGATGACCACCACAGTTCTTATGATAGTTCTTGACTGTAAAATTACTAATCACTTCCTTGTTGTAATCCTGAAAATGAACACGACCCTCAGGCACCATCTGTTTGGCACATATCCCCAACAAACCAGAACCACAACCCAAATCAAGGACAGATGAACTAGACTTAACCACATCGTTATGAACATGAAGATAATTCAACAGGTCAATAGTACACTCCCAGACTTCGAAGCCGCCCTCGTAAACATCTGGAACTAAATCTGACTTCATGACAACTTCCTTCATGCTGCTTGTATCCACATCTTTTAGATACTGATACGTGTGGGAAGGGCAACCGATATGGAGTTCTTTCCATTTTGAAAACAGGAGAGTAAGTGTATTAGGGTTGTATGGGATGCTGTTCCTTCTGGTGATGAGGAAATCAGGTTACTTCCTTCGCTTGGATTATTGTCTTGATTTTCTTTGTTGGTATTGTCCTCGGAACCAAAGAAGTTGAATTTAAAAGACATTGTGACCAGCTGTGGAGTGTGGAGATTTGTCAGAATAAATTACTCCAGGAAAGTTGTAATCGTAATAATACTGAATACTTATTGCCGAGAACGAGGCTTAAATTGCACCGAAAATACATTTAGATCATTACAAATATGTACTAAAATAATTTTTAGTCAGTACGGCAAGTAACCTATGAGATTGGAATTTGAAAACAATACATTTATACATAGTTCAAGATACTAACTATAGTACTAGATCATATAACAATTACAGTGTATTAGAGTTGAGAATGTAGATTTAAAACATGGAATTCCAGGCGGAGCATTTCTATAAATATCTATGATAAATACAGCTAATAGTGTTGTTGTTGTTTAATTTTACTAATCATCAGTTCTACTCATCTTAAAGATTTGGAGTTCATGAGTTTATGAAACAATTTTGTTGGCATTTATTTTGTTATATATAATGCTCGTATTTAGTTCCTTCACAGGGAATAAAACGCACAAATCGACTTGAATTACTATGAAATTGTTCATAAAATCAAATCAATACGGTCTAAATTTAATTAGTTAATTAGTTTAATTAGTCTTAATTTAATTAGTTAGTGTTCAAGAATGTTGCTGAGTAGTACAACTTGCCAATTTAGCTAATTCATAAATTTTACATATATTAGTCTTATCAATTGATCTGTAAGATACTACAGAAAATAGTCTCATAATTTGAAAGCAATGATACAACACAATATCATAAAATGAAACTTTAAGTTTATATTTTATATATCAAAAACTAATATAACAGAACTACATCGTGAGTGTAATAATATGAGTTGATCAGGTTCTGATATATAATATACATATATATTCAAACACGGCGTGTTTAACCACAATTTGTTAGAAAATAACTATGATCATACTGAAAAACAAGGTATAGAACTCAAGTTTCAAAACGCTTCTAAAAAACAAAAAATATCCAATACGAACTTATTAAGGTTACAGCAAGCTTTTAAAGGTCTAGAATCTAGATGGAATAAAATTTTCTGTACTTATAAAAATTAAGTTAACAACAGTGAAGCATCAATAATTTTAAAACATTCAAGACATATTTTCAGATGGTTTTTATCAATTTCACGAAAATCCTTTTAACTCGTCAAGTTTTGTCGAAAAATTTGGTACGTAAAAACTGTTTTTTTCTGAAATTGAGAGAATCCTTGAAATTAAAAATGATTCGGACCCAATGGCTCGATCGCCATTGCAACTACTACGGTAATAAATCCTGAACAAATTGCAATTATAATACATCCCTTGACAGTCTTCAACTCTACAAACAGGGAGCGGAGAACTGTGCACTGGTAACTGGCCAAGTACTGGCTGAGCACTGGCAACAGAATATTGAAATCATAAATTTGTCTTTTACATCCCGGCTTAAAATGATCACCTTCTCAACAACTCGGATATCTTCAAATCTTTATCAAGCAATCAATCAATCATTCAATTAGCATAGCTGAATTGTAAATCCCCTGTAAAAATAATATAAAGACAAATCGGACGTCACTCCATCCAAACAAACCGACTGAATGTGGGATTGAGCATACAATACCTCCCATCCTCAAACGCGGTACCCAAACTGAGGAAGTTCAATGATATGGACTAATATTGGTGAGGTACGTGAGAACCTCCTGGGACCTCCCAGAATTACTGCAGACGGTATTTCGTTAAAGTAGGGGCATTTCCAAATTTAAGGTAGTTGAGGAGATGGCACCGTGTCAGCTCTACAGGGATCATGTTAAGTAGGTTGTTGCTGTTGATGTTTAGTCGCTGTAGGCTCCGCATGTTCCCGATCTCACCAGGGATTGTTCGGAGATGGTTTTCACTAATGTTCAGATCCCAAACCTTTTCCATGAACCCTATTTGTCGATGAACCCCCGTCAGTAGATTGCCCTGCAAGTTCAACTTTTCCAGTTCTGCCAGGAACTCGATCTCAATGGGCAGTGACCGCAGTTGGTTACTCTCTGCATCGAGAGTCCTCAGTTTTCTCAGAGCCCCAATTTCTGGAGGCAGAGTCTCAAGCTGGTTAAAATTAAGGTTAAGCTGCTCAAGCTCCGTCAGGTAGGAAATATCATCCGGTAACACAGTGAGGTTATTGTTGGACAGATTCAACTCCACTAGGGTGGACCACTTGCTCATATCAAACGGCAGTCCTTGCAGGGACAAATTACTAACATTCAGTTTCACAAGTCGCTCCGCTTTCGAGAAGATTCCATGTGGGATCATTCTAATTTTGTTTCCCTCAAGGTTAATTGTTTTAATGTTCTGAAAACAGTCTGGCGAGCTATATGGTATGTTGGTAAACTCATTCCGAGAAATATTGAAGTTTTCAACAAGAGGAAGGCACAATAACAGGTTGTTGGGAATGTAACTCAGTCGGTTCTCATTGATGACAAGATCGTTGATAGAAACACACGAACAAATAGAATCAGGAAGACTCGTTAACCGATTCCCACAAAAATTCACACGAATCAGTTTAGTCAAATCACCAATGTTCACGGGCACAGTCTCAAGCTTATTGTACTTACACACAATCTGAGATATGTTTGTGCACTTGCAAATTTCGTCAGGTAAGACTGTGAGATTGTTTTTGGCTAAATCTAACAGGTCAAGGTTTTTGAGTTCCCCTATGCTTGCAGGCAGCTCGGTTATTTTGTTCTCACTCAGCAGAAGGGAGCGTAACTCTGTCAGGTTCGAAATATCTGAGTTGATGACAGACAATTTGTTGAAGTTCAGAAAGAGTTTTTTCAACGATTTAAGCTGAAATACTGCGGACGGAATCTCAGGACCAAGCTTATTGTGCCTCAAATCCAGGATTTCAAGCTTTTTCAGGTGTTTCATTTCCTCTGGGAGAGTAGATATATTGTTCTCATTAGCTCCAATCGATTTAAGGTTATGGAGCTTGCATATCTCTGCCGGCAAGGTAGTCAGTTTATTTTTGTAAATGAAGATTTCAGTGATAGCCCGCAGTGACAGAATGACTATTGTAGCACCCGAAAAACGAGTTCCTCAGAACCCCAACGCCAGTTGAGTTTCCATCTTTGCATTTTTCGAGTCTCTTCGAAACTTCGATCTTTATTTCACCCTTATTCTGTGATGCTTTCTTGACAGTCGGTCCACATAGACCAAATTAATACTTGTATTTGCGACACATCTCTCATACTGAAATTATATTTATGTTGAAAGGTTTTAACTAACATAACATTGTACGAGCATTAACTAAAATTGTCATTTCAATTACATTCGATAATTTCAATTTTATTGAATTTGATAATTTCAAGAAAAACAGAGAAGGTAGATCAATTTCTATGCATTTTGGGAATATTAAATGAAAAATGCTGAGTTCGTCAACAAGATTAGGATAAAGAAAATATATTTATATAATATATCAATTGACAAAACAAATACATCATTAATATTATTATAGATTATTTATGATTATACATCAAAATACACACATTTCATAATATTATGATATTATTATGATAGCAAATTTATCAGTTTTACCTAGCTTGTAGTTATCACTTGAGTCATTTCGAGATTGAAACATACGACTTCCCACCCTCAATTTAACCTAGTACTTCCTCAAATGACATAATTTAACAGTTAATGAGACATCATAATTGTTACTTGTTCCTTAGAAATATGTTAATATATAAAACATATCCATTTTACATCATCAAATAATTATATCTTGCATAAACATTTTGAAGGGTGAATATCAAATTCAAAGGCATGCCAATTGGTATCAAATAGCAGTACTGAAAACAATTATTGAATGACAGTATAAAAGAATAAAAATCCCACTTGTAAAAATAAAACAAAAATTAACATCGATAATTTAAGAAGTTTGTACAACGAAAAGCATGGAATAATTTCAACCTTATTAAAAGTTAAATTTTATATTGGATATCATATAGGTTACAAGGTCGACAAGCAAACATTAAAACGGATGCAAAATTACACGAAAATTTGCTAACCTGTTTTTGTATAGTGATAAGCAAAAGAAATGTCTGAGATTTCAAAGCAAATCGGGCTTTACTTAATCAACATTTCTTTATCACGAATTGGCACAGATAATGTACCTAATATTTACCATTCAATCAAAAAATTTTTTAGCCGTGCACATTTAAATATTTCCCAATAAATAACAACTTCTATTTATTTAACCCACTCAATTTTCTTAAATAGAACGCAGTAGTCAGTAGTGACAAATACATTGTTTGATTTTCAATGCTTAACAAAACCATGAATCATTATATCAGCAACATAAGAAATGTAAAGTATGTGTGGTTAAGGTCGTGCATCATTTATTAATTTAAGTACGAATACTCGCTATTTATAGTATCAACAAGTTTACAATAATAATACCATAATCTCGATAATTACTATTTCATCAAAACATATTTTATACGAAAGATTTAATTATGATATGGGCTTATAGATGTAAGATAATAAAGTACGTTTTGAGGACCACCCTGAACATACTCAGAAGGAATTTCATACAATGGACAATTTTCAATGTTTAAATAATTTAGCTCACTGCACATGGTCAACTGAACAGGAAGGTTTTGCAACAGACTATTGTTATTAACGAGGAGCTTTTTTAATTGACCCAGATGACCGATTTCATCCGGCAAGACTTTTAAACAATTTTCACTGACGTTCAGCTCAGAGAGACGGTAAAGGCAGCCGATTTGACGAGGAATCGAAATCAGCTGGTTGCTGTGGAGGTTGAGTTTTTCTAGCTCTAACAGGTATCCAATCTCTGCAGGCAGGCTCCGCAGCTGATTTCCATCACATTCAAGCACTCTCAGTTTTTTGAGCTGTCCGATACCCTTGGGAAGATATTCCAGATGATTGTGGCTTAAGCTGAGGATGTTCAAGTTCTCTTAAACATTGTATGTCCTCCGGTATGCTGTTTCCATCGATTATAAGCTAGATTTAGCTCCACGATGGTCGTCCATTCACCCATATCAAAGGGTAAATTTGTTAATCCAATGTCATTTAAATTCAGCTTTACCAAATTCTTAGCTAGAGAAAATACTCCATAAGGAATCATGTTGATTTTATTTTTCTCTAGATTGACAGTTTTGATGTTCTTGAAAGAGTTGGGGCCATCAGAGGGAATGCTAATAAAACAGTTTCGAGAAAGTTCGATACTTTCCAGGAGTGTGAGTGACGTGAGCATTCCCTTCGGTATGGATGTTAATCTGTTTTCATCCAAAACAACATCTTGAAGCTTTGTGCAACTACAGATAGAACTAGGCAAACTGACGAGTTTGTTGCCCATTACATTTAACCGGATCAGGTTTCTCAGGTTCCCGATATTTTCAGGTAAGCTATCTATTTTGTTGTATTTAACTACAAACTGAGACAACATTAGACACTCAGTTATAGATGATGGAATGCTTACCAGCTGATTTTTTGCTACATCCAGAAGCTCCAAGTTTTTGAGAGAACCAATACTCTCAGGTATCGCTTCAATTTGTTCTCGATCAATATCAACGACTAAGGTTCTTCATTTTGCCAAGATCCTCAGACACTCCCGTGAGTTTGTTGTAACTGAGCATATCTTTTTAAGTACTCAAGTTCGACAAAACACGTGTATTGATGTTAGTTTACTGTGACGCAAGTCGAGAATCTCTAGTTTCTTCAACAATTTCATCTCATCAGGTAGAGTTGTAAAAGAATTTTCACTGGCCAATATAGCAACAAGACTTGACAGCTTACAAATCTCTGGAGGCAAAGTGGAAAGTTTATTTTTATAGATGCAGAGGGAAGTAATATTTTGAAGACAGATATGTTTGAAGGAATTTCACTAAGAGTAAGATCAGTAAGATCAATCCTCTGGTCTCCAGATTCCTTGCATTTTTCTATTCGTCTGGTAACCTCCCTGTTCTGCGAGTTATCTTTGTCACTCTTTTTTCCCGAGGCGTTGTTGGTTGGTCGGATGCCAGGTCCAGAACCAAATGTGACATGCTTTGAGTTCATTTGCTGGGCTTATCTCATTTTGGTTCCCTAAAAAGGAAATGTTCAGAATAAATAATATTGCTTGATTTTATACTAGAATAACATAGCATAAAGTAATTATTGTACTAAATGTAAACGTGCAATGTACATTGTACTACAATGTCTATGCATTACTCCATATAAAAGACATCCCACTTGTAACTACTCAATAAATCAAAAATCTGTGGCCATCAAAAGGATAATTGAAACATGTGAAACACTCAAAATAAGTGACGAATTGATTCGAGTGTCTCACTTGTTTGAAATATAGTTGCACTAACGCTTGGCAGTTGGGAACTTTTTGCAATGCTAACATTTGCCAGGGGATGATCTGGAATCAAAAAGGCCATCATGGCTACAATTACACTTAAAAAATGAACTCACTGGATGATCAAAATAGTGATACAGCATCATGTCAGAATATTATAAAATATCAAATAAATTAGTTATCAGGATCTTAATAAATTAAATTTTAGTTTATTTTTTATTAAAAAAAAATTACAAGTTTTTATTCCTTAGAGCTTCATTTTACTAGTATCATGAAATAAGAATAGCTGAACGTTCTGTTAATAATACTACAAATACATATAAAAATCAAAACGCTAAAAGCAAACCATTAAAAAAACCTAACAGGGGTTTTGAAAAAAAAAAAAAATATAATAAATAGCTCATTCATTGGTGGTTTTACTCTTTTCCAACCGTTTTTGATGATATTTAGCAAATGTTTGTGCTACAATTAAAGGAAATACAAGTGTTGCTTCACAATATATTTTAACAGGTTCTTTACATCCATGTTTAATTTTACCCCAAGAAACTGCTTCATCTGGAGTAGCACCAGAATCAGAACCGTCAAAAGGCTGAGCAGTATTTATGTAAACTGAAAAATCTGTACCATTTCTCATTAAATTAGCATTAGCTATGTGATGTTTTATAACGCCACCTCCCAATATTATCATACCACTCTTTTGAGCACCGACAGCAGTCCTGTTTATAGCTCTGATGTCTTGAGTGAGATCCATTATAAGTCCTTCTCTGTTATAAGAGTGAAAATACATGACATCACCAACTGCTCCGTCAATTATAGCAGGACAGAAGACCGGAATTTTTGTTTTTTTCCATGCCATACAGTACACAGTCTTCGTTGTTGAATGCGCTCCCCATTAGAGTAGTCATTTTACTGACTCCATATCTCTCCTTTTTCAATCTGTTCATCAAGCATAAAATTAAGGATTGCATTAACCATTCTTCAAAGAGCTCATAGTTTTTGGATGGGACAATCAAATTGCCGATACGGTTTAAGCCTTTAGAACGCAAAGTTTTGCCATCATAATCAAACCTTCCAATTTGATGAGGAGCAAAACATTTCATAATGTCTTCTTCAATAGCACCACACGTTGTAACAAGGACATCTACCAAGTTTTCTTTCACAAGGAACTTTATGTTTTCCCGGACACCACTGCTGATCATATTACTAGTGAATCCTAAAAATATAGTACAACCAGATTCTTGTCTGACATCAGGCATTTTAAACCCCTCAAATGGACATGATTTTGCAGCCAGCATTTCGTTTATCATATCTACAGCGGCTGCAAAATTTGTAGCTTGAAACCCCATAGTTCTGTATGATTCAAATAGAGCATCATAATCAACTGAACTTTGGGAGAAATCATAGCCCTTCACAGTGGGTCCATCAAAATCTTCTGATTCAGGATAAACAGCCGCCTTTGATAACAATGTTTCATCCATCTGATAAAAAAAGATTAGAATTCAACAGTATCAAAAGCGATTTAGACAAATAGTTCATATCATCAAAAATGGGAAATGCTATATTAAAAGAGTAAATTAAAACAGAACATTTATTTCAATTCCAAAACTGATGAAAATTGAAACTTTGCTGAATTGATTTTAACTTTATTTAATATTTTCAAACCTATGTTAGGTAAACAATATAAATAGTCAATGAAGAACGATACAGTATAACAATATTGTATAAGTAAAAACCCAAATCTAAACACAAGTCATTCAAGAAAGAAGCTTTTAAGATTGTTTGATCACAAATTTTAAATGCCGTTTTGAGAAGCAATCTACCTGGACACATTGTAATATATGACAAAAGCCAGATTATCTTTGGCAAACAATGCCTGGTCGAGTTTCAACAGGTAGATTGGACCAAGAGGTAGACTGTAGACTCTTAGTCAATGAAAGTGTATGTTTTAAATCAGTCCACGATTCAGAACAGCTGGGGTCCAGATGTAAACTACATTGAATACTTTCTTTGGCCAGATAGAGTTCCCCAATGTTAATCTGTGCTCGTGCCAGTGTTTGAAGGGCAAGATAACAGGATTTGTTGTAACTTACTGCCTTCTCAGCAGATTCAACTGCAGGATAAACTTCCCCAAGTTCAGAATAGCACTGTGAGCACAACTCGTGTAGAACCGAGAGCAGGACACAAAATTGATTCGTACGATTATTCTCCAGGTCATCTGACCCATTACTTTTAAGCTCAAGTAAGAGTTCTATAGCCTTTTTAAATTTGGACAGGGCTTCCCAAAATCTAGAATTCTCAGCTAAAGTGTTTCCTTCTGACTTCAGTCTATGAGCAACTGTTAAGGTATCTTCGAGGGCAATAGTTTTAGAAACAAATGGAGGTTCTCTGCTACATTTTGATTCATTGTCTTCATTCTGAAAACACAGAATACCAGACTTCGATTTAAGACTACTAGACTTCAAGCCACATTTCCTTTTCGAGCTAAGTGTAAACGAAATTACACTTGATCTTTTCATTACTTCCTTTCTAAGATTCTGAAAACAAAACTTAATCATATCAGTTTACACACCAATAACAATCTAAACGAATAATGATTTAGGCAAAGTAGGGATTCATAATCCATGTGATCAATATACTGAAACGAATTCTACAAATAAACGAACGATAACTGTTATTACACCGAATAAAGTTTCGAAATGAAAGTCCGCTATAAAATGCCAGCGTCATGGAAGGGATTAGCTTCAATAGCAAATTTGCATGCAATAAACATATAATAAATATACTGATACAGAAGTATCGTTGGGCTTTCTTAAATAACGATTAATTTCGCCAATGCCGATAAGGACCGAATCAAACTAAGTTAACAAATATAAACGGGCCTAGGAGAACATTATGAGCAAAACAAACTTAGGAGTATTGTGATGAATAAAATTATAGTATTTGGAAGAACTAGGATGAAGATTAAATCTGAATAATTATTATTCAGTATCCAAGAAAGGAACCTTAAATAATATATGAATTAAAGTATAAACAATATTCGTGATCTTGATGAAATTAAGTGCATTGCAAAGTGGAAAAAGTGGTGGAACAACTACTAATTATATAATATATTATAGATGCAGGTTTGAGGATACCGTCATGCATCAAAACATTCATTTATCAGTCATTAATTTCGTGCGTACGATCCTATTAATAATATACGCAATGATATTAATTAAATAATAAATCCGTCTGGACAATTACAATTTAAAATCGATTCGAGAGAATCGTTTTCCGAAATATTAGAACTCTGCACAATCTAAACACAAGTTATGTACATTTTGAACATTTATAAGTTTTAAAAACCTTGTGTGACCACATGTGTTCATGTTATTTAGCTTTGGGGGGGGGTACACAGAGTGCACTGTATCTATGTTCAGGAAGCTTGAAAATAGCTCCGCACAAAGAATTGCGTGCCTGGTAAGCACAGCTGCGATATAAGTTCCTTTTGTAGATTTTAAAATCTACAAGCGCGCGCCGAGAATGAACTCGTCTACAGTCTAAATATGCAAAAGATTTACACAAGTAACACACGTTAACATTTACAGTAAAAAATATTTTAAAAAAGAGCTAGTGATCGCCAATTCGAACTTGCGCGCACTATTATGTGTTTCATGTTTGCTACATTATAGTTATTATGATATGATTTTTGTGATTTTCAAAGCCATGAGACTACGCTTGTACTGCGAGACGCTCTTGTTTTCACAGATAAAAAAATTTGGCCGCCTTCGGGGGACGGCCGCGCTACTGCAAGCGAGAGGGCTCAGGTTAGAGCAATTGTGAACGTTTTAAATACTTTCAACACTACTAAATAACCAATAAATTTGAGGAAGTCAAGTGAGGCCAGGAGCCCAATGTCCATGTGTTGCTAAAGAACAAATGATCTGTGGGGGTGTTGCAGGGTGGTTTGAATAGGTGCCACTGGTCGGAGATGAAGCACAAACCCGAAGATGAGTAGATCATGGAACACAACCTCATAAATCCCAGATCATCCAAAACCCCTCCCTTACCCCATACCTTAAAGTCTAAGTAAACACAGGACTGCCGGCTTCCTGGTTGGACACAACCTGAATTATTTGTATTTCGTAGTTTTGGAGAGTTGATCCAACTGTAGATATAGATTAATCGAAAGTTCTTACACTAAGTAATGATTTGGATATTGTCTAAATAATGATAATGAAATGATATTGATTAATTTGGAGTTAAGAGATATATCTTTAGGAAATGATTAGATTGTATATATTATTTACTTAATTTAGTATGGAATATGAATTATTCTCTAAATTGACTTACTTATTGAACTATTAAGTTTATTGTACCTTGAACTCCTAACCTTTTGTGCAGGTTTGTCAAACAGACATGCCTGCCACAATTTTCCTGTTCAAATGAACCCGGCCATTTATCTCTACTTGTCTTCACTCTGAATGCCTGTAATTCATCTGCATCCCTCCCCGAACATAATAAAGAATCCAAAAGAACCCTCCAACCACCCCCACCCACCCTCCCAAAAACATGAACATGAATAGATCCATCCACCACCGCCCCCACCCACCCTCCCCAAACAAAGCATGAAAAGATTCATCGACCACCCCCACCCACCCCCTATCATGTCCACCATATGGTCTAAATTAATTAATTAATATTTCATTAAAATACCTTTCAGTTTCAACTGCAAATCAATGAAATTTTCAAGTGTCTCTCAACATCATTCCTGGCTTACAACTCATTACCCACCAGACCACCCACCCATTAACTATATAGTTCATGCGAAGCTGACACGATGAAAGTAGGCACTCTCTGAGTGCACCTGGCACACCCCCATGATCGTGTTTTCCTAGAATAAGGTATAAAAGAAAGACACCAACACCAAAGACCGCAGCAACCCCCAAACCGTACAAGCAAAGGATATAGCAAAGGTACCAGCCAAAAAGCCCCGAAGAAAGCACCTAAATCAGAGAAACCTCGAAACCGTACATCAGGTATGATAAATGTCCCAGTGGAACTAGTGATAAAACCTCATGTATTATTGAATTGTACCTCTTGCCCACAAACCTGGCACAACCAATATAGTTGTAAACTACAAGGTATTTCCGACCAGTTTTGTTACACAGATAGAGTGAAGGCACTGTCCGCTTTGGTTTCAAGGCCCCTGGCTTGCCCAGCTCTAAACAACCACAGATCGAGACTATTACTTCTCAATATGTTCTAAATCAAGAGGAATAAAAACATTGATCTTGACGAAATGTCAATAAAATGAAGGAGAAACTAACTTCGCTATATCCACACAAAACGATCTCGAGCTACCACCAAGACCATTTTCGTGAGAGAATACTCAAGCTAGGAGACAATGACTACATATTCAACATCGGGACCCTCCAAGAAGGTCAGGTTGATGAGAAACTTAAAACAAGAAAAAACAGATCACTGAGCATCAGACTAGTATGGAAACCTTAAGAAAATCACTGCCGTATCCTAAGCAGGCCCCACAATCACCAAGCACCACAAGCTCTCAGACCTGGGTCCAACCTAGTCGTGTCACACCCACCCCCCCCCCCAAAAAAACCCCCCACTCACACCACCCACCCACAGTTGTCCCTTAACCCACAACTCCCATAGAGCACCAATCAGAAAAGCTTCACCCGACCTCAAACTATAAATCATCAATGAGATAAACAGCCTCAAATACACCACATCACTAGAGTCAGTTGTCATTTGTGCTGAATCAGGCCCGCTCAACTGTTGCGTTTCGGAGCTCCTTTACACGAATACAGTTTCCAAATCTGGTGCCGATTCAACGCCCAATCCCCCAGGTGCTTCAGCCGATACTGGGAGAAAATCAATTTCCCTAGAACAGGAATTATACTACGAACAGCACCCCACCTCAAGTCACAATCCTGAGAGTGCCTCCTCACCTCCTGTTCATAAATTCATGTCTCATAACTGTTACGAAAGGGCCCTAATAGTTCACTTCCCAAGACACATCAGTGACGACGAGCCCACTATAGATTCTGAATCATCCCATCTTCACAGACATCCACACGCCAAGAATGCTCCATCCAGTTCCTTGACAAAAATGTCTGGTGTCAAGTCTGACGCAAACATCCACCCACCGAACACTCTCATCCATATGACAAGAAAAATACACAATACATTTTCACTCATTCAATACCAAAGAGTAACGTCACCCAAGGACATCAGATATAAGCCCCACGTATCAGATCAGTTACTGAAAACAAAAACTCTACATCTTGATAGGAGATTCAAATACAGAAATGCTCAAGTTTGGGACTAATAAACGTAATAACATTTGGAGACTCAAGCCTGGCCTTAAGAATGGCGCCTATAATCAACAAACATTGGACCTGTACAGCTGTCAACTACATCAATGTTGTAATCATGTTGCGGGATCAAAGATAAAAAGCAACCACAAGTAACGTCAGAA